TCCCTGAATATACTCCCAATATGGCCCTTATTTGAATAGATAAATAAACATATATATATATATATATAGATGTACATATATAAATTATACCGTCTTATGTATATATATATATATAGTCACCCCCATGATCTAGGTTTTTGTTTGTACATATAAAACCCTCGTAAATACCGATTAAAACGACATGCTGGGTATGTAAGGCAAAGTCCTGTTTCTGCACGTCTAATCGTATGTGAGACAACCTGTAAATAGTGGTAAACGTGTGTGTTTCTTAACCCTAAACCCTAAACCCTGAACCCTAAACCCTAAACCCTAAACCCTAAACCTTAAGCCCTAAACCCTAAACCCTAAACCCTAAACCCTAAACCCTAAACCCTATCCCCCTGCGCAACGGCATTTGGCCAAGGTACCAGACCTTCGAGAGCATCTCCGGATGCCCAGAGATGCCATCGGCGGGGTGGAGCGGGCTGCCCGAGCCCGTGCAGAACGAGGCCAGGAAGGGGTTTAGGGTTTAGGGTTTAGGGTTTAGGGTTTAGGGTTTAGGGTTTAGGGTTTAGGGTTTAGGGTATTTGGGGCTTAGGGTTTAGGGTTCAAGGTTTAGGCTACGCAGAGTAGGCCCTTATGTTCCCTTGCCAGGCCCAAGAAACCAAAAAGGGGCTCCTTTCTCTTCCTGGGTTATTCGCGGATCCAGGGCATAAGGCCTGGCGTTTTGTAAGGTTGCTTCGTCTATTATATCAGAACCTCTAAACCACTATCAAACACACGTTTTTTTTGTTTTTTTTTTTTGGGGGGGGGTATGGTCAAGCTCCTTGATTTGTTAACCCAAGGGTACTGAGGGTCGGCGAAGTGTCCAGGGTTTAGGGCCGAACTTTCATGACTTGCCCATGTAATGTGGCTCAGGAAGCCTAAACCCTAAACCCTAAACCCTAAATCCTAAACCCTAAACCTCCTAATGTAGAGGTTTAGGGTTACAATTTTCGTTTTGGGGCCCGTGGGTATATTCAGGGTTTAGGGATTGCTGCCGATGATCAAAACCCCGAACCCTGAACCCTTGGAAGCACCCGCGCCTGCAGGTCGGCACTGACCAATTTCGTGGACTTTTGGCCGGCAAAGGGCTCCCCGGGAAGGCGCCCCATGGTTTAGGGTTTAGGGTGCGTATAGGGTTTAGGGTTTAGGGTTTAGGGTTTGCGGCTTAGGGTGTAAGGTTTAAAGACTTAGGGGGGGGGGGGGGAAGGTAACTTAAAGCCCAGTTGTTTTGGTAGCCCAGTGGTACCCTTCTCCCCTTTTTTTGGTTCAAGGTTGCCTTATAAAGTAACCAACCCAACACAACGGGTACCCTTATGAAACTGTGGTTCCTGGGTGTCACTGGGCTACCCAGTCGTCCTCCATCCCGTCAGGTTCTCTACGAAGTGCTCCTGGATCCTGAGGACTTCATCCTAGAGGTCGGGCTTTGACCGGCCTGAGGCGATCATCTTGCAACCCTCTAAATTCTCGCATGCGCCACACAAGTTGCTGACCTGACATCTTCGTCAGGCAATGCATCGGGTGTAGCCCGAAGCCGCAGACACTGCACACGCCAGAGAGAAACGATCATCGTTTAATTCGCGTGCTCTTCAGTACTGCCTAGGACCTAGACATATTCCCATATGCATGTACACACATATATATATATATACACAGACCACTCCGACAAATAGGATTGTGAGTCTCTGCCTCGCATCAAAGCCCGCACCGACAATCAGCCGCCTGCAGACCACCAGCTGACCCGGGCAAAAAGGGGTTCAGGGAGTTTAGGGTTTAGGGTTTAGGGTTTAGGGTCTAGGGTCTAGGGTCTAGGGTTTAGGGTTCAGGGTTTAGGGTTTTGGGTCTTGTTACCGTTTGGCTGCTTCTTTATGCTTCGTACTAGCACATGAGGGAGTGAAGAACCCTCATTCCCTACTAAGAAACAAGTAAACTTTGCGCAAGCAGAGTCCTTGGCTTGGGAACAGAAAGGGGATTGTTGGGGTTTTAGGTCGTGGGGGGCAGGGGGGGGGGGGGGGGGGGGGGGGGGGGGGGGGGGGGGGGGGCTGGTAGCCCTCAACACATCAGCTTCCGACGCAAGACTGAACAAATGTCATTAGTGGGGTTCTAAAGGGCGGTTAAGGGTTTAGGGTGTAGGGTGTAGGGTGTAGGGTTTAGGGTTTAGGGTTTAGGGTAATGATCTATCCACCCCTGATGAAAACCGTAGATCCAAGCCCCTTCAAGTGCTTGCCTGCGTCGGACTCCCTTGACGAAGCCGCCAAGATGATCAACAGCGGAAATCTACAGATTGAAGGTGCTCATGTGGCGGGTTGTTCTGCAAAAAGGGTCGTTTCTGGGCAGCTCGTCTGTTGTACGGGGACTCCGGTCATGAAAATCATATGTTCTTTATGTCCTTCTGGTGGAGCAAGAACAGCTCCCCTGTACTTCGTGCCTTGCACCAGCTATTTCTCCAGCGAAGGCCCACGTAGCTTTGCATGGCTTAGCAAAGTCTTTGATCCGTTGCTGAAATCGGTTTAGAGTCAAGGTTTTTCTCTTCAAGTTATGAGGTAAACCCCAAACAGTTCCTTATATTAACGGTTTAGGGTTTAGGGTTTAGGGTTTAGGGTTTAGGGTTTAGGGTTTAGGGGCCCAGCCATGCTTTTCTCTGGAAACTCGCGACGCGCCTGTCGGCTGGCGTCGACCTGCCTCCTTCTCTGCTTGCCGGGTTGCGTGGCAGCTGAACTTCCCAAAGATCCCAATACCCCTTAACTGGGTTTAGGGTTTAGGGTTTAGGGTTTAGGGTTCAGGGTTTAGGGTACCCAAAGAGCCCAATATTGCTTAATTAAGGAATATACCTTAAATCATATTCAGGATCCCTATATGATTTAAGGAATATTCCTTAATTAAGCAACATTGGGCTCTTTGGGTAGGTGCCACAACCCAAAGATCCCAATACCCGTTAGGTTCAGTGTAATATACTTTAAGTCATAGTAAGGAGCCCTATTTTTGTGAAAGGTACATTGCCAGAACCCAAAAAGCCCAAGTCCCCATTGTTCAGGAATATGCGTTAAATCATAATCAAGATGCCTATACATTTTTTGGTAGATTCCCAAGTTGAGGAGTAGCGGGCTCTCTGGGAATCTACGCACCCATCACAACTGCACACACTCCTACATGCCCTAAACTCTGAACCCCAAACTCTACACCCCCAAAGCAGGAGCCCCTGAACCTTGAACCCAATGTTCAAACCCGAGCAACCCTCATCCATCTACATCTTTAACCTCGAGGCTTCCTTTGAGCCCTAATCCCGCAGCCCTAAGGCCTAAGAACTAAACCCACCTAGCCGCGGAGGACCATTCAGTGAGGAAGCGGTGCCTCTGTACCTATGGGTGCAGGAGCACACGAGGCTAGGCTGCAAGAGGAGTCTACTTTGATTTTGGGCTGGTTGTACTCTGAACTGGGTTTATTCTAAACTGGGTTTAGGGTTTCGGGTTTAGGGTTTCGGGTTATAGGGTGAAACCCTGAACCCGAAACCCACGGGGGTCCCAAGAAGAGTGGAGGAAACATCGCTTCCTGGAGATGTGTGCTGAGGAGAATGTGACCATCTCAGAAATGCTGCGCCTTCTCCTGGGAATTTATTGGGAGTTTACGGGGTTTAGGGTTTAGGGTTTACTATATCCCCCTTGGGAATTATTACTTTTTAGTTTTGTTCACATAAAACTAAAGGGGATATTAGATGTATTAAGGTTCAAAGGGGAGTATAGTTTAGGGTTTAGGGTTTAGGGTTTGGGGTTTGGGGTTTGGGGTTTGGGGTTTGGGGTTTAGGGTTTAGGGTTTAGGGCTAGGTTTGTTGCAGGCTTTTGTTGGGGTGGTCTGTGGGGCTCCAGGGTCTTGCTTGCGGTTTAGGGTTTAGGGTTTAGGGTTTAGGGTTTAGGGTTTAGGGTGTAGGGTTAACGGTTAAGGGTTAAGGGTTAAGGGTTAAGGGTTAAGGGTTTGGGTTGACAACATCGTTAGTTTACGAAGGGTCTAAAGAGGGCTCAGCTAGACCATTCTTGTGACACACGCTTCTGATGACTGTTTCAAGTGGTCTGAAACGGTTGTCATTGCTTTTGTTACAAGGGTTCCGAAGAACAGTTGCCCCAAACCCTAAACCCTAAACCCTAAACCCTAAACCCTAAACCCTAAACCCTAAACCCTAAACCCTAAACCCTAAACCCTAAACCCTAAACCTAACCCTAAACCCTAAACCCTAAACCCTAAACCCTAAACCCTAAACCCTAAACCCTAAACCCTAAACCCTAAACCCTAAACCCTAAACCCTAAACCCTACCCAGGACCCGGTGGGCGTCGACCAGGTCCGCAGCTCGAACGCTGACGCCAGCTTCCGGCGCTTCTGCGGAGTCCTCGCTCGGAGGTGGGTTTAGGGTTTAGGTTTTAGGGTTTAGGGTTTATAGTTTATCGGGTTTAGGGCGCTGTCCCTATTTATCGGGGACTGATCACCCAACTTATGACCACCCATGAACCTCCCAGCAACAGGTGTCCAGCCCGAGCGTCGCGAAGAGCCAGAGGCTTGGGGCGAATTGTGGAGGCTTTAGTGGTGGCATCTTTTCCTTTGACTACTACTACTATTTGCTTAAGAACCCCCAAACATGAAAGATACTCATTCTTGTACTGCTCTTAAGGAATCATATTGTTTGGGGGTTCTTAAGCAACTAGTAGAGGCTCGATACAGTTGAGGACTTGAGATCCAAAATCCCGAGCCCCCTAAACCCTAAAACCTCAACCATAAAAACCCTAAACCCTCCTCAATCTTCAAGACTCCTCCCAGACCCAAAGACAAAGACCCCAACACCCTCAAAAACCCTAAAAATCCCCTTAAAAGCTCCCCAAGACCCCGAAAAAGCTCAAAAAACCCTCCCCTAAACGCACTCAAAAGCCCCTACTAAGAATACCCTAAAAACCCTTGAAATTCCCAAGAGACGAGGAAAGAGGGACTAGCTCGCCGCTGGGTGCGGAGAGTGCCGAGAGGCCCCCCGCCAGATGGCGTGGCTCTAGTCTAGGGGTCGGAAGAATTACAAATAGTATACCCTAAACCCTAAAACCCTAAACCCGAAACCCTAAACCCTAAACCCTAAACCCTAAACCGTGATATATGGCTCCCCAAATAATGATACGACAATCCCCTACAAAATTCTTCCTAGAATCGAAGATGAGGATCGCTGCATTCTAAGGATTTCCGGAAGCACTGGCCTAAGCTAGGGTTTATGGGGTTTAGGGCTTTGGTTGAAGCGCCAAAACCCTAGGTTTTACAGACCCGAAGCCCTAACCGTACCTTAGGAGGTAGAGTAATGTCGGGGTCGCAACAGTTGCCAATCGTATTCCCTTATGGTCCCTGTATGATACTATAATACCCCCCTCAGAAAAACCTCTATTCCCATTACTAAGGCCCCTATATTAGGTATCCTTTAATTTTGACGACTTCCTTCGTCTGCCCCGGTGGATTTCTGAGTTCAATTCTCTTGGGGGAATTATCCGGTATAATCCCAGAGGTTATCCTTCTAGCATACTGGACAACGAAGATACTCTAAACCCTAAACCCACACCCTAAACCGCATCTCGTGTTGATGGGGGTTGGGCTGAACGCGGTCGGACCCCCTGACCCTGCAGAACCTTCTTCAACCTATGTAAATCCCATCATCAACGCCAAATGCTTGACTTTACAGGGTCTTACTGTAGGGCTTATGGGGTTTATCGGGCTTTATAGGGCTTCTTGGGGTTTCACAGGGTTTCATAGGGTTGCAGAGGGTTTGCAGGGTTTAGGGTTTCGGGGCTGCCCCTGAATACTCAGAAGCCCCAAGCCACGGTGAGGCTGCAGTCGCCTCCAGCGGCATCGGTATCTCGCAGAGTCGTTTTGTTTCTCTGTTTGTTTGCATGTTTCTTTGTTGGCAGCCTGTGTTTCAGGCTTAGGGTTTAGGGCTTGGGGTTTTTGGGGTGGACGGTTGAGGGTGAGGGCTTAGTGTTTAGTGCTTAGGGTGGTTCAGGGTTTAAGGCTCGCTGTGGGGCAGAGTGCCTCGAAAGGGACGTTCAAGGGGTGAAGACTCATACCCCTAAGGTTGTACCCCTGAAATGTGGCCCCTTTCACTACTTTAAGGATGTTTCAAATGGTCCAAGAGACAACACCTGGAGAAGTGCAGTTGAGTTTATGGCCTGACTGTGGAGCGCCATCAAACCCCACGCCGTCTAACGCGGCAACATCACCCTAGCCTAAGCCCAATTTACATGTAAGTCATGTCATTTCCTCGATCCTCTTTGGGACAATGGGCCCATCGTGGGTGCCAGCTCACGATGCTGTTGGCGGCGGGCGAACGACGCAGGTTTAGGAATCTCCGGTTTGCTATACGGAATCCCCAATCCTGAGCCTCATTCGGAACCCAAAACCCCAAGCCCCAAAAGACTCGTACACCCTTACACCCTAAACCCAATAAACCCTATAAGCCCTGTAAACCCTATAAACCCTATAAACCCTAAAACCCTTAAAACCCTAAACCGTATAAACCCTCTGAACCCTATAAACCCTTAAACCCGAATTAGATGCATAACCCTTATAGACCCTCAACCCTCAACCCTCAACCCTCAACCCTCAACCCTCAACCCTAAACCCTAAACCCTAAAACCCCAAACCTTTTCCCTAAACCCTAAAACCCTACACCCTAAACCCTAAAACCCTAAACCCCAAACCCTAAACCCTAAACCCTTCAGGTAGCACGCAGCCAAGCAGCCTTGGAGGGAAACTTCCTTCTTCGGCTGGGGGCGACTCGGGCAAAACCCCATATCTTCCAAAATCCCCGTACTTCAGGAAGATACCCCAAGCTAGGGTTTAGGGTTTAGGGTTTAGGGTTTAGGGTTTAGGCTTTAGGGATCCTTAGTATAGAGTAGGGTATATATTCCTTATTTAAGGAACATGCCCGAATTCATCATAGGGTATCTTCCTTAGTTAAGGGGTTTGCAAGATCTGGGAACGTCAGGTCCACTCCGCCCCCGCCCACTCCCCCTTCGGGTCTAGGGTTTAGGGGTTTGGGGTTTAGGGGTTTATAGGGTTTATAGGGTTTGAGAAGGGGGTTTAGGGTTTGGGGTTTGGGTTTGGGGTTTGGGGTTTAGGGTTTAGGGTGTAGGGTGCCTTAGCTAGTTGGGTCGTTTAACTTTTGTTCGTGGTACAGGGCTACTCCATCCTTGCAGTTTCGGTTTCAGATCGGAAGGCATACGTGAGAGTTTGTGTTCGTCTGTGTCTCGGCCCGTCCAGACTTCGACTGAGGTGGCTTTATGCGTAAAGGGTACAGCCAACTCAAGACCCTAAAGCCCGAAGCCCTCAACCCTAACCCTAATCCCTAAACCCTAAAACCTCGGTTTTGTGTTCTGGGTGGTTAGGGCCTACGGGGAGTAGTCTTTGTAGGTTCACCCAGGCCTTGTCATTTTTTTCAACGTCGGGCTGGAAACCCCGCCCGAAGCCTTAAACCCTAAACCGCTAAACCCTAGACCCCAAACTCCAAAAGAGCCCCTCGACAAAGGCTGATGCCCTGGTCCCGCCGCACATCTGTTTAGAGGGTTCTCCTACGAAGGGCCCTTGTAACTACACAAATTAAAACTGCAGAGGTGCGGTTTAGGGTTTAGGGTGCAGGGTTCAGGGTTCAGGGTTTAGGCTTAATTCAGGGCTTGAGATCAGGGTTAGGATTTAGGGTTCAGGATTTAGGGTGGCTGCCCAGGAGGATGATTTGAAGCTCCTGCGCCGAAAAGCGAAGACTCTCGGCGCGGTCGGATTGAGTTTAGGGAACCCTAAACCCCAAACCCTAAACCCTAAACCTTAAACCCTAAACCCTATTTGGGTTTCGGGTGTTGGGGACGTCACGCCTTCATGGAGAATGGTTTTGGGGCCTTTCGGCTTTAGGATTCCAAGGTGCTTTCAAGGTGTAGGGTTTAGGGTTTCTATACGGTCTAGGGTTTAGGGTTTAGGGTTTAGGGTTTATATAGGGTTTACATAAGGTCTAGGGTTCATGGTTTAGGGTTTAGGGCGGGTTTAGAGTGGGGGGCGTGGCAGTTTATAGGGCTCCAACGCTTTGACCCCCAAAACCCCACGGTTGCGGAAAGGGGTTGACAAAAGCTGGCTGGTGACTACTTCGCGAGTCTTCCGATGTGGGACTCAACCCTAAGCGCCAAGCTTGACATCCCTAAACCCTAAACCCTAAACACAAACCCTAAACCCTAAACCCTAAACCCTAAACCCTAAACCCTAAACCCTAAACCCTAAACCCTATACGCCCTAAACCCTAAACCGCCAGCACCCTAAGCTACCTGCGCCGAGGAAGCATAGCCCGCTCATTGCCACGTGGACGACAGGGGAAGCCAAGTACATGAGCTTGGCGATGAACCTGGCCTCTGATCTGCAAAGAGAGAGATCTTCCAGATCTCCAGGGGCTTAGGGTTTAGGGTTTAGGGTTTAGGGTTTAGGGTTTAGGGTTTAGGGTTTAGGGTTTAGGGTTTAGGGTTTAGGGTCCAGAGCCCCTTAGTTAAGGAATAGACCCTAAGCCATAATACTGAGGCTTAGTATAAATTAAATGAGGGTATGTTCCTTAAGTACGGGCTTCTGATCTGCAAAGAGAGATCTTAAGCTTGGTAGCCCAGTGGTACCCTTCACCTTTTTTTGGTTGGTTCAAGGTTCCCTTGTAAAGTAACCAGCCACAAAAAGGATGCCCATATTGTAGTATGGTTTCTGGGCTACCAAGAGCTGCAAGGGGAGATCTTAAGCGTTTTAGGGTTTACGGTTCAGGGTTCAGGGTTTTAGATCTTAGAACCTAGCCCTCGAACATTTCAAGAACCCTGAACCCTTACCTGTACAACCCTGAAGCCGTAGTTGAACCCTGAACTCCAAGACCCAAAACCTAAGAACAAAAAAACCGAATCCTAGCCTGTATAACGCATGCCGACACCCTGAGCCCGAACCACCAGGCGTGGAGCCGGTATCCATGAACCCCAAACTTATCTAGAGTTTAGGGTTTAGGGCTTAGAGTTTCGGCGGCCTTTATTAAATATTCTAACTCCCGCATCCCTTCAGAGTATTCTAACTGCAAGGTTTAGCCCAAGGGTAAAATCGGGCTGTTTGCCCTGCGCGCAACAACTATTCCATCTGCACCCTGCCCGTTGTTCAATATTCTAACTGCAAGGTCGCCACTTTGAGTAAGAGGTTGTGGCTTAGGGTTAGAGTTTTAATTTTAGGGTTTAGAGTTTAGAGTTTAGGGCTTGGGGGGAAAGGGGTTTTAAGGTTAGGGATTTAGGGTTTCCAGTCTAGGGCTTAGGAATCTAGCGTTTACAGTTTAGGGTTGTAGGGTGCGCACAAGGGTTTCGAGTGTAGGACTTAAGGTTTAGGGTTTAAAGTTTAGGGGTCAGGGTTCAGGGGTTTAAAGTGTAGGGCTTAGGGTCTAGAGTTTAGGGCATGGAGGTTTGGTCTTAGGGTCAAGAGTTTAGGGTTAACCCTAAACCCTAAACCCTAAACCCTAAACCGTTGAGCCCAGGCTCTGTCCATCCGGAAGAACGTCCCGAGCCTGGAAAGGACCTCGGATTTCGAGCGTTTGAGATTTGAGACTTTCGGGCGCAGAGCAGTGAATGTACGTCTTTAACTTGAATCAAAGTCATGATCGTAGAAGAAGGAATTCAAGTGATAACGCTAGTGTTTCTGATAGCGATAGTCATGACTGACGACATCAGTTTATTCAGCTAGTAGTCGTTATTCAGAAAGAGCAGGAGTCGGAGTCGGAGTAGGAGTAGGGGTGGGAGGATCAGGAGGAGTAGTAGTAGTAGTAGTAGTAGTAGTAGTAGTAGTAGTAGTAGTAGTAGTAGTAGTAGTAGTACCCGTACCCCGCGCGTTTGTAGGAGGCCCTGGAGTTTTTTGCATGGGTGCCGTGCAGGGTGGAGGGTGGGGGGGGGGGGTTGCGTTCTTTTTTCGAAGCCTTGCCCGGAGATCCAACACTTTAGCTCCGTGGGTACTACTACTGCTACTACTCCTACTACTACTGCTACGACTGCTACTACTGCTACTACTGCTACTACTGCTACTACTGCTACTACTACTACTACTACTGCTACTACTGCTACTTCTGCTGCTACTAGTGCTACTACTGCTACTACTGCGCTACTACTGCTACGACTGCTACTACTGCTACTACTGCTACTACTGCTACTACTGCTACTACTGCTACTACTACTACTGCTACTACTGCTACTACTGCTACTACTACTTCTTCTACTACTATAATACTAATAGTAGTAATCATGGTATTGAGAATAATGCTACTATTGCTACTGCGACGACGACGAGGAGGGTTAGGGTTCGGGGGGGTACAAGGTTTGCAAAAGGTGGAGGGATTTGTGAAGGAGCTTTGTTTGCGTCGCCCTTGACCGGGCGGCTCGGCGGGCCATGCGCAAGAGCGGCTTACCTGTGAAAGTTTCGAGGCTACGGGCGTTCCCTATATCCGACGGGCTTGGCGCGTGGGTTTCGGGATCAGCCCCTAAGCCTGAAACCCTTTCGAAGATCGGGATGCTTGGGCTTAGGGTTGAAGGTGTAGGCTGTTATGTGGCTAGGATTATGGTTTAGGGTTTAGGGTTTAGTGTTTAGGGTTTAGGGTTTAGGGTTCAGGGTTTAGGGCTTAGAAGGGTTCAGGTGGACAGGGTTCAGGGTTTGCAGTTTTGGTTTCAAGCATGGTTCTCTTGCATGGCCAAGGCAAGTTCCACACGCTGTCGCACCCAGTGCTCCCAGGTCCATCGCTGAGACCTGGCGTCAAGTGCTGGCTAGGGTTAGGGTTTAGGGTTTAGGGTTAGGGTTTAGGGTTTAGGGTTTAGGGTTTAGGGTTTAGGGTTTAGGGTTTAGGGTTTAGGGTTTAGGGTTTAGGGTTTAGGGTTTAGGGTTTAGGGTTTAGGGTTAGAAGGTACCCGGAACCCTCAACCGCAAGCCCTAAACCCCAAAGCCCTAAACAAGCCCTAGGCCGTTTAGGTTTCGGGGGCTTGGGGCTTTGCGGTTTCGGGAGCCTAGGCTTGCTTTCAACCAAGCAACCCAGAGGCCCCGACCTTCCCAACACGTAAACCTGCCAGCTATGCTGCCTTCCTTGTAAGGGGAATATAGGGATTAGTATTATTTGTTTATTAGTAATATATATATATATATTGTGTTATTTATGATTTTTTTTGGGGGGGGGTTCTTAAGCAAAACGTAGTACAGAGCAACCTTGGTACTTTTCCAAGTGGCACTTACGCTCAACATGTCTTATCTCAAAACATCAAGCCCTCGCTGAACCCGCGCTTTTGTTTATTTAAAGTCTCTGATAGTGCGAGGTATCCTTTTTTCGGGAGGGATTCTTTAACGAGATTCCATGGTATGCCGGCTTTTGTCGGCTACCGCCTATTCAGCACAGGAGCCATGCATGTCCAGAGACAGATGGTTCCCAAATCCACTCCCCAAAATTCACGAAGTTACAAAACTCCTAATCCGAATCCCCCCCTACCGTTCTTACCCTACTGATCCTACCAACCTTACACACCCAGCTAGCCCTACAAAGCCGTATTGGCTCTATTGGCCTTGGCCCGGCCTTATCCCTGCTCAGCCCTGTGACGCGAGCTCATAGAAGGGCTTCGTGGGCGCGCAGGTGCTAAAGCTACCCTTAACCCTAAACCCTAAACCCTAAACCCTAAACCCTAAACCCTAAACTGGGCTTTTGGGCTGCCAGGAAAGATGCGATCTGGAAGATGCGCTGGCTGGTTCTGCATACCTTCGCCCACTTGGGCATAGACGGCCTTGTGCTGGACTCTGATACTCGGAAGCCCTGTGAGCATAAGGGTTTCGGGTTTAGGGTTTAGTTTAGGGTTTCGGGTTTAGGGTTTTGGGTTTAGGGTTTCGGGTTTAGGGTTTAGGGTTTAGGGTTTATTTGTCCTTTGTTATTGTGGGGTGGTACGGTGGCATTGGGGTTCTGTCATCCGCCAAAGCATGCTATACCGTGGCCTCTTGCTCACAAAGCTTGGGAAGCCCTTTTTTGGAAACGACGAAACACTTCTGAGGACAGAAAAGTTGCCCGCGAAGCCCTAAACCCTAATCCCTAAACCCTAAACCATCGCCTCCTAGCCTTCGGATTCGGTTCAGGGCTTTGGGCTTCGGGTTTTTTGGGTTCGGAGCCTTATACCAAAGGCCCACAAATGTTCGTTTCAAGTCTCCACCCATCCCAATAGAGGGGTCGGAAAAATTACCAATAGCATGCCCTTCCGGTCCCTATGTAATTATACCATACTAGCCCCCAAAACTCTATTCAAATTAGAGGCTCCTCTATTATGTTGATTCTTTTGAAGCACTGCAGTGTGGGCGTCAAAGGCAACGCGATTGAACCTTTGAAATGCAGATGGTCCGAGTTCTCTGAAACTCTAAAGCCTGCGGATGACGACTGGGTGGTGCGAAAGACTTTGCAAGCTGCCACAGAGGACGATGACTTCATCATCAGCGTCGGGTGACATTAGGGTTTATAGGTTGGGATTCAGGGTTAGCCTCATGGGATGAAGACTCGCACCCCTTGAGGCTCCCCTAAAGGTCCCCCTCAATATACTCCTGATATGACCCTTATACTACCTTGAGGACCCTTAAAACGGAGCCCCTAAACTGCACCCTGAGGGTCCTAGGTATAACTTCTGGAGGGCCTTAGCAAGTAGAATAGGGTTTTAGGGGCTGTTCTGTAGAACTACAAAGGGACCTATCAGTACTTATTCCGACCCCTATGTGAGGCTTGTGCGACACGTGCAGAGTAGAGGGGTGGCCCCTAAACCCTAAACCCTAAACCCTATACCCTATACCATAAACCCTAAACCCTAAACCCTAAACCCTAATGGAGGGTTGGCCTCGTGAGACTCCGACAGACTTCGACTGCATGCGCCCTTCGCCGTGGACAGCACCGAGTAAAGGGCATGAACTGAACAACTGGCCAGGTGTTAGGTTTAGGGTTTGGGGTTTGGGGTTTGGGGTTTTGGGGTTTGGGGTTTGGGGTTTAGGAAGTCTCCCAAGCCCTAAACCCCGAAACAACCCTGAACCACCACCCCCCACCTCCCACAAAAAGCCCGCCTTGAACCCCACATCGCCAAAACCCTAAACCATCTAAACCCTAAACCCCGCACCCCTAAGAATGAACCCTAGACTCTAAACCCTAACCCTATACCCTAAACCAACCCTAAACCCTAACCCTAAACCCTAAACCCTAAACCCTAAACCCTAAACCCTAAACCCTAAACCCTAAACCCCAATCCCTAATCCCTAAACCCTAAACCCTAAACCCTAAACCCTAAACCCTAAACCCTAAACCCTAAACCCTAAACCCCAAGCCCAGGACATCGTCGTCCTCCAGGACCCTTTCCCGGTACTTTGGGGCGACGCGGACTTCGAGGCGCCTTTGCGGTTTAGGGTTTCGGGTTTCGGGTTTCGGGTTTCGGGTAGTGGTTTAGGGGTTGGGGTTTAGGGTTTAGGGTTCGGGTGTTCGGGTTTAGTGTTTCGGGATTAATTAGGGTTTAGGGTTTAAGGGTTGGGGTTTAGGGTTTAGGGGTTTCGGGTTTAGGGTTTAGGCTTCAGGGTTTGGGGTTTCGGGTTTAGGGTTTAGGGGTTGGGGTTTGGGGTTTCGGGTTTCGGGTTTAGGGTTTCGGGTTTAGGGGTTCGTGTTTAGGGGTTATGGTTTTAGGGTTAGTGGTTGCCAGGTCTTAGTTAGGGGAGGGGGGGGGGGGGGGGGGGAGGGGGTAGTTGGAGATGAAGGGCTCAGGCTAATGATTCGCGAAAGAAGATATGAGCCATATGGGGAGTGTATGTTCCATTCTGAAGTGAGCACAGGCGCCAGGGATGTGTGTAGATCTAAGGGCTGCCCTCTTTGGGTACCCTGAACTACTGTATCGAGAAGGCGATGATAGGGACTATACTCTCCGTCGCCATTAGTCGGCTTTACTTCAGGGTTAACTGCACTTAACGACCTCAACAAGTTCCTACAGGAGGTAATACCATAATAAGTGCCAAATGGGTGGCAACAATGCCGGTTTACCATAATCGCATCCAAGGGGTCCTCCACGCCGCCATCCATATAGGCTTTCTACATAAGGGGGGGGGGGGGGGGGGGGAGGGGTCCCCCCCCTCTTAGTAAAGCCTAATTAAGTCTTAAACGGAGCCCATCGCTCAAAAACCTTCATGCTTACTGTTTAGGGTTTAGGGTTTTATGTAGGGTTTAGGGTTTGGGATTTAGGGATTCGGGCACTCACAGGTTCTGAGTGAAGGCCGCTTAGAATCTTGAGATGATCATCAAGCATCTTCGTCAAACAGGTATTGCGCCCCTAGGGTTTAAGCATAAGACTTGAGGCTCATGGATTTGCGCTGGGTTGGCCTCTGGCAGATTTGAATATAGTCTTATTATGTCTTGGTTGGGTTTATAAGGGACCCCATATACTAACTGTTTAGAAAGGGGTTTCAAGGCCAACCCTAAACCCTAAACCCTAAACCCTAAACCCTAAACCCTAAACCCTAAACTCTAAACTCTAAACTCTAAACCCTAGCCAGCAAGCAAGGGTCGGGGTGTCCATGTGTGCTCGCCATGCCAGGTGATGACCGACCACTTCTGGCCCGAACAGCACTTGTGGCAGTCACGCGCCGCGCAAGTGGTCCATGAACTGGTTGGGTTTAGGGTTTAGGGTTTAGGGGTGAGGGTTTAGGGGTTTAGGGGTTTCAGGGTTAGGGTTTAGGGTTTAGGGTTTAGGGTTTAGGGTATAGGGTATAGGGTTTGGGGTTTCGGGGTGTCGAGACTTCCGACATCCGCTAGGCTCATAGGCTTTAAGTGCGCCTCGGGACTGGCCTTCGAGTTGGGGCTTTGGGCAGCAAGAGGCATAAGTGTTGAGGGTTTTGGGGTTTAGGGTTTTAGGGTTTTAGGGTTTAGGGTTTAGGGTTTAGGGTTTAGGGTTTAGGGGGGGGCAATAGGCAGTTTCGACGTCAGAGCCAAGAAGACCCAAACAGTAAGGCCAGCAAACCTGAAGTGCACAAGGGTGCTGCAGGGGACCCTAACCCTGAACCCCCGCATGTTCACGAATCTCCTAAGTTGAGTTTCTAAGTTATATGGATGATAACTTAGGCTAGAATCATGGACTGCTTTCCCTCCCGGCTATACCCCCGCTGCCCTTCCCCCCCGCCCTCTTAAACTCTAAGCTCTAAACCCTAAACCCTAGTATGCTCTTAGCATGCACTCAGCAAGCACTCAGTCCCTGACTTATGTGCGATTCCCATACTCAGTGCCCTTCCTGTATGCCTATACACGAACACCTGAACTAGAAACCCTACCTTGAACCCAACACCCGCATTCTTGTATGCTCTCATGATAACACCCTTGGTAGGAATACTTAGGTAACCTACAAAGAAGCTGGGTTTTGGAGTACTATACTTTAATACATTTTTTGGTTTAGGGTTCCTATAATAGCTACTTATACCTAAAAAGTATACACTTTTTTTCCAGGGTCTACTCCAAAGCTAAGGTTGAAGTAGGTGTTGGGTTAAAGGCAAGATGTACCCGAGAATGGGCGGATGCGACTTCAACTTGTTCGGGCGGACACGTAGAGGATTTTCGGATGTCGGAAGTCTCGATACCCCGAAACCCCAAAAGTACCCTAAACCCTAAACCCTAAACCTACACCCTACACCCTACACCCTGCACCCTGCACCCTACACCCTACACCCTACACCCTACACCCTACACCCTACACCCTACACCCTACACCCTACACCCTACACCCTGCCTGCAAAGCTCTACAGGCGTGTTGAACCCTACTCCCTGGACCCTGAACCTCTTGCACCTACCTGCCGCTCGAGGAGGTTTAGGGTTTAGGGTTTAGGGTTTAGGGGGAGCGCAACCCTTGGTTTCTTTGAGGTTTTCGGGATCTGGGGTGTAGGGTTTGGTGCTTTGGGAGCTTTGACTCCACTGCTCCTAGCAGTAGTTTGGCCACTATCACCCTAAACCCTAAACCCTAAACCCTAAGCCCTAAACCCTAAACCCTAAACCCTAAACCCTAAACCCATCCAGCCTTTCCAGAAACCGAACCTCCACCTAAAGGGCCCAATCCCCCTTAGCTAAGGAACGTATCTTAAATCATGTTTGGATCCCCTTTCTGATTTTAAGGTATATTAAACCCTAAACCCTAAACCCTGAATTAAGGGGTTTGGGGCTCTTGGGTATACCCTTCTTGCAGAAGGTATTGGACGAGGCCCGAGGAGCACATCAACACTGGCTGCATATTTGCGGACGCCTCAGCCAACGCATAATGTGATCCTAAATCCCAAACCCTAAACCCTAAACACTAAACCCTAAAATTCACAGTGAAGTTTCTGCCGGATTCTCCGTGATCCAATGGTAAAAACGCAGAAGAGGTCGCAACTACTCGTGAAGATCCGACAACAGCTAGAACTCATCGCACACTTACCCTAAACCCTATACCCTAAACCCTAAACCCTAAACCCTAAACCCTAAACCCAAGAATCCGCACACGCTGTCTGCAATCAGAGCTGCCAGTGATGTCAAGGTCAAGGCCTCCGTCCGGACCAAGGCGTTTCTGCAACTTGATGGGCTTAGGGTTTAGAGTTTAGGGTTTAGGGTTTCGGGTTTTGGGTTTTGGGTTTAGGGTTTAGAGTTTAGGGTTTAACGTCTACCCCCAAGAATAAACAGATATCCTTCCTGGCAAGGGTTTCTATATACTATGTTGCTTAAGACCCCCCCCAAAAAAAAACACATATGTGTGTGTGTATATATATATATATTCTTCTTGATAAGGGGACTATATGTGTTGAGCAAATAGTAGCCTTGGAGGGGGGAGCGGGGTATTTGTACTATTCCGATTACGACTCTTGCTGTGACTACTATATTACTACAATTGCCACTGCTACAAAGCGGGGGGCTCACTGCCTTGTTCGTTTCGGTAGCCGGCTCTGGAGGAACAATATTGAAGGAGACGCGGTAGGGTTGATTGAGCCTCTGGTGATGGTGCGTTCAAGAACGTTGGGGTACGCTGAACTTGGACATGTCCATCTTCATTGAACGGAGGGTTCGAATAACAGATTTATACAGACCTGCTGGAAATCTATGCTGCGACCGCTTTGCTTAGATATGTAGAGGGCCGCCAAACAATGCGGGCTGTGCATTCGTTTTGGGCAGTTGCCAGTGTGTGTGGGGGGTTAGGGTTGAGGGCCCAAACCCTAAACCCTAAACCCTAAACCCTAAACCCTATGTTGGGTTTAGGGTAGCTACGGCCTATGGCCACAAGATCATGGCTCAAGGGCGGCGTATGGTGCAAACCCTAAACCCTCAGGGTTGAGGGCAAACTTCAGGGCTAGGGCTCAGGTTGTAGGGTTCAGTTTAGGGTTTAGGGTTTAGGGTTTAGGGTTTAGGGTTTAGGGTTTAGGGTTTCAGAGTGGATCTGCCGAGTCCGGAGTCGGAGCCAGGGTTTGGAGTTTAGGCTGCTGAAGGTTTAGGTTTTCTTCTGGGCATTCACATGTCTTTTGCACACTCTCAACTCCCCTAAACTCTAAACCCTGAACCCTAACCCCCTTGGCCATCAGCCATTTACCTGGGGCCCCAACTACCCGCTTGGGGCTTCTGAGAATTGCACATGAAAACTCTTGAGTTGCTTCAGCTTGAGGAATGAGGGATTTAGGGGGTTTAGGGCTCAGGGTGCAGGGTTGTGAGCACCCTTCTTCGAGAAAACCGGACAACGCTCCCAAACTCTAGCTGTTATCGCTAGAGGGTTGGTTTCCCTAGGGGTCCATGTACCCAAATCGGGAACTTAAAGCACCTCCTATGTAGGGACTTCGGAGTCCAAGTATATCATGGTATCTGGGCCCTCTAAACCCTGAACCCTAAACCTAAGCCCTTAGGGCGTTGATTGAACCCTTGCGGATCCCTTATGGACCCGTCGGGTTTGTGGAGTCACCCTAAACCCTAAACCCTAAACCCTAAACCCTAAACCCTAAACCCTGAGGGCTTGCGGAGTCAGGTATGAGTTTCTGGAGCATCACAACGAGAGTGAAGTGGGCGGACTTCTGCGGCACTGGATGGATCAGCAGGTGCAACCCTAAACCCTAAACCCTAAACCCTAAGCCCTAAAATTAGGGTTTAGGGCTTAGTTAGGGCTGAACACCCTGAACCCCTAGACCCTAAACCTCACACAGCTCACTTCGCAGACCAAGGTCAATCTCCTAGGAATTGGACAAGTTTGGAGGTTGAATGTCCTCTTCCTCTTCGAAAACTCTGCCGTGGAAGCGTGCAAAACCTTAAACCCTAAATTAAAAGTCAAAGCTAGGAGGCCAAGAAAGAGGGACGTAGGTTTTCGAAGGAGGGCTCGGGCTTGTTACTTCAGATCTCTGGGCCGCGAGCAAGTCAAAGCTACTTGTGGGTGGTGCCAGAGGAAAGGGTTTAGGTTTCGTATAGGGTTGGGCTTCTGTGGTAGCCCCGAGGTTAAACTCTCCAGAGGTTTTCGGGATGATTCTCTGAACTCTCCCCCCCAAATGTGCGGAGGTCTTCAACAAGTTCGTGGAGCACCGCCTCTTCCACTCATCAGCCGACCTCATTCACGGCCTTTATGGCCATCAGGTGGCCTGGTTTACTAGTTCTTCGGAATGGACGGAAGCCCGAGAGCATCACGGACAGGCAGAAAGAGAGATGGAGAGAGAGAGGGGGCTTTTTCGCAAGCAGACATCTGGGACTTGGGACTCGCACGCTTTCGGGGTGGCCCTTCGGGCGAGGGGGGGGGGGGAGGGGCAAAATGTACGCAGAGACAGAGAGAGAGAGAGAGCGAGAGAGAGAGAGAGAGAGAGAGAGAGAGAAGAGAGAGAGAGAAGAGAGAGAGAGAGAAGAGAGAGAGAGAGAAGAGAGAGAGAGAGAGAGAGAGAAAAGAGAGAGAGAGAGAGAGAAAGAGAGAGAGACAGAGGGGGTTGATCGGATTTATAGGGTTAACGTTGATAGCGTTGATTTGATTGTTAGGGTTTACAGGGTTCTGAGGTTAGGGTGTTGGGTAGGGGTTTTTCAGGGTGTCTGATTCTGAGGTTAGGGGGTTGGGTTTTGGATTTTTCGGTCTGATGTCAGGGACGCCCCCGCAGGTGTTCCGGAACGTCCGCGCGCAGAAGATTGCGACGCCCATCCGCCTGCGCATCCTCGACCCCAAGGTCGTTTCGCACGGGATGAACCCTGGCCTTCTTTTCAACCCTACTCTTTGCTTACAACCCCCACCCCCCCCCCCCCCCCCCCCCCCAAAAAAAAAAAAAGAGAAAACAAAAATGAAGATGCTCTTCCTTAGGGTAATTAGGGATTTTTGTTTTTTGGAGGGGTTCTTAAGCAGCTAGTAGAAGCCTAGACTAGAGACGAAATCGCAGCAAAGCGTTTCGTTATTAAACCCAAAACCTACATGTGCAGGCTCTTGTTTTCAAACCCTTTGTAAGATTCTTAGGTAACCTAAAAAGGATTCAGATGGCACCTCCATGTCCGCTCACTCGTTTCGTTCGCACCTTAGTTTCATTTCGTGCGTCCGTGCGTTCACTTATTCACTTACTCCCTGACAGATAGCATTACTGTGTTCTCTTCTTGCGCGCATTCATTAGGGTGAGGGCTGCTAAGGCCCTTAACCTACGTCCAACTAGAAAGCCTCAACCTCAGCCACCCTTAACCATAAGGGTTTAGGGTTCAGGGTTTAGGGTTTAGGGCTTAGGGTTTAGGGTTTAAGGTTGAGCCCTCCTTCTCGTCCCGCCACTCAGGAACTACTTCTGGCTGCGTGCTCACGAGGGTGGGCGCCCCGCTGTCATTGCCCACGCCAATGGGGTGGACGGCAAGGACCCGCCTCGCAAACGTTAAGGGTTGTAGGCTTTATAGGGTCCCCTAAGCCCTAAGCCCTAAGCCCTAAGCCCTAAACCCTAAGCCCTAAACCCTAAACCCTAAACCCTAAACCCTAAACCCCAGACCACCGCAAACTCTGTTTGCTTAACCCGAACTCCTTTGGGGTGTAGGGATTCGGATAAAGGCATCGGACGAAGCTTCTGTTGCGACCTCTAGTGGATTGCCCCTAAACCCTAAACCCTAAACCCTAAACCCTAAACCCTAAACCCCCAAAGTTACGGTACCTGGGGGCGCCCTTGTCTCTAGGATTTTGCGGTGTTTCCTCAACCCTGAGCCCCTACCAGAAGAAGCTTGCACCCAAAGAGCCCAATATTGCTTAATTAAGGAATATGCCCTAGATCATATAGGGAACCCTGATATGATTTAAGGAGTATTCCTTAATTAAGCAATATTGGGCTCTCTGGGCAACCTAAACTCCTAAGGCCGAAGCCGAAGCCCTATAAGCCCTAAAATCCATGAACCGTGCGCCCTAGAACCCCACCCCAGGCCTCAGTCCCTAAACCCTAAACCCCAAACCCTAAACCCTAAACCCTAAACCCTAAATTCCCACCCAGGCCTGCTTAGGCCGTACCCACCCTTCTCTAGGGTGCCTGGACCCAGAAATCACCCGACAGCGATTAACACCATCGCTTGGAGCTCCTGTGCAAGCCTAAAGAGTTGTGTTGAGCGTGAGCTGCACCTCCAGTGCCGGTGCAGTACCCCGCCTGGGGTACCCCGCCCCCCTTCTCCGATTCTCAAGTATTATGAAGAAACCCTAAACCTGGCGACCTGTTCCCACGGAACCAAAAGTGGCTTCTGCACGTGGTCCCTGGGCCCCCCTCCGGAGGCCCCTGGCGCCAGCCCCTGACGGAGCGTGTTGAGGGACCAGAGGGGCCGCAAGGCAGGTCAGCCTGGGCGATTGCTCAAAAACCCACTACCAAACCCACAAACCCGGTTTTTTTGAACCCTGCCCCCCCCTGGCCCCCCTGGCCCCCCTGGCCCCCCCCCCGCCCCCCCTGGCCCCCCCTGGCCCCCCCTGGCCCCCCCTGACCCTCCTTGGCCCCGCCCCCCCCCACCCCCCCCCCTCCCCCCCCTCACCCCCATCACCCCCCCCTCCCCCTCCCCCGCCTCCCCCCGCTCCCCCCCCCCCGATCCCCCCCCCTCCCCCCCTCCCCCCTCCCCCCCCTCCCCCTCCCCCCCTCCCCCCCCCTCCCCCCCTCCGCCCCCTCCCCCCCCCTCCCCGCTCCCCCCCCCTCCCCCCTCCCCCCCCCTCAAATCTGATGCCTTGCACATGGTTTTCACAGGTGGCCCTGTCCACCAGAGCAAATGTTGGGATCTGAGATCATTCCGACAAGCGCTCCGAGGACAGGCTTGTCACATGGCTCCAAGATTTCCTGAAGTGCCATGTAGGCATCGTCCACAGTCACTTGATGGTAGTCGATGCCCTCAATGCTGAAAAAGCCCGGCATGAGCTTCAGCAGAGCCTGTATGACTTTGGCGTTGCCCTTGTTTGTGAGCTTGGCCAAGGCCCGGTACACTGCGGTACCTGCCCAGCAGGCGGTCTATCAAGTCACTGTCCCCAACCTTGCCCAGCTCAACCAGACCATCCACGGTAGGCATGTGCTGCCGCTCCTCCCCCTCCCCCCCCTCCCCCCCCGTCCCGGAGGTAAGGGCCTTCTGCCCCCGTCTGTTTTCTGGGTCTACTCGACAAGGGGATCTACTTGGCCGAAGAAGCCACAAAGATCGATCAATATCTGACCCAGGACACTGGATGGAACAATAGACTTGACAAAGGGTTTGAAGGGACAGCCCAGACATATTCGGCAAGGGGATCTACTGGGCCGAAGACACCGCGAAGATCGATCAATATCTGACCCAGGACCCTGAATGGAGAGGCAACAACAAACCGACCTCCACAAGAAGCTCTATGAACGGGGAGGGAAAGTGCGCCGCTCACGTCTACTGTGCCTCGGGCTGCCGCATTGCTCTGCCCCTGTCTGTTTTCTGGGTCTGGTTTTGACAACCCTGACCCGTTCAAAGGATGAGGGTGGAAGTGTCCTACCCAACCGTTCAAAGGATGGGGGTGGGAAGTGGGAATTTAGGGCGTTAGCCCGAAACCCTAAAAGGAGAAAAGTTGGGTGGATGCCTGCGTAAGCAGGGGGTGGGAAAAATAAAACAACCCAACCTTTCTGGTTGTGGTGGCTCCAACTTCAATATACGCCGCCGCGACATATGCCGCCCCCTCACACCCCCTGGGTGTGTTGGGGCGCCATCTCCGCATGACATCTACTGCCGCGGCGCGGCGAGAAGCCCTAAACCCTAAACCCCAAACCCCAAACCCCAAACCCTAAACCCTAAACCCTAAACCCTAAACCCTGAAGCGGCCCCCCAATCTTGAAAAAGGAGTACTTCCTGCGCGATCGCGGGCACTGGTACCTCGACGACTTCGACGAGCGCTTCCCGGAGCAGGGCTTTCTCACCTACGCAGCTTGCCTTTTTTTGTTATGGGGTTTAGGGTTTAGGGTTTAGGGTTTAGGGTTTAGGGTTTAGGGTTTAGGGTTTAGGGTTTAGGGTTTGGGGTTTACCGTATTATGAGGGGTGTTTATTGTGAAGGGTATATATTATGTAAGGGGTCTAGAAGGGGTATAAATAAGAGGCATAGAAGGATTCCCCAAGGCCCCATACTTGCATGATCATGTAGCCAACCCTAAGATCGTGCTGAGGGCAGTTTAGGGGCTTTGTGGTTGTAGGCTTGAAGAAGGTTTCGGTCTCAGGTTTTTGGGGGGACCCCTTGCCTTTCGCGGGCGGCCCAGAACCCCAAAAAGCCATCCCGGCAATCGTACATCCGAACAACCCATGGCTACAAACACTCATAATCAAGCCGGAAACCACCTTAACCAAGAAAAACTATGCCCAAACCCGAAACCCTAGACCCTAAACCCTAACCCCAAAACCCTAAACCCAAAGCTCCCTTGCTCCCACTGCCTGGAGCAAGGCACATCCGCGTGGCATGTCGCTGGCGGAGGACCCTTGGGCCTTAGCTTGCTGGTTCTTCTTAGCCCTAAACCCTGAACCCTAAACCAAAACCCTGAACCCTACACCCTAAACCCTAAACCCTACACCCTGAACCCTACACCCTAAACCCTACACCCTAAACCTGAAACCGCAAACCCGAAACCCTAAACCCGAAACCCTAAACCCTACTCAGGGTTTAGGCTTCAGGGTTCAATATAGATCTTGAAACCGTGTCCCAAGCTGCGAAAAGGACTTCGAGCACTTGGTGGAGGCGGTGGTGGTTGCTGCAGCGTTGCGAAGACGGCTGGTGCTTCCCAACACAATGACGCACCGGCTGGTTATGGGTTTGGGGTTGAGGGATCCCTACTACCCACCCCTCTGTCCTACCTCCCTAGTTCCCCGCTTAAATCACCCTAATTAGGCTTAATGATCCCTAAATAGCCTTAATTAGGGGTGGAAAGTAGGGGGGGTAAGTATAGAGTGGGGTAGTAAGGTAGTTACGTGGCTGTTTGGTATGAACCCTTAAAAGGGGAGCCCTGATACACACCTTACATACCCTATAACCCAAGGGCCCATACTTCAGAACCCTTCGAAGAAGGTAAGGGACCAAAATAAGGGATAACTACCCTTAGATTACGAGTCAGGGTGGCTTTGGTGACTTTGGCTTGTGTCTCTGACCCAGCTTGGACAAAATGACCCATCACAAGGCCCCATAACGACCAGCCACAAGCCTATTTATACTAAAAACAAAAAATAGTGGTAATAATAACAATAAAAATTAGCATGCATATTATTTATAATAATAGTAATTATGGCCGAGCTGTGTGACAATGTTAAGTGAGGGCTTACTGTCGTTCATTGATTCACAGTTATAACAGGATAACGGACAGGTGACGAGGGGGACGTCACCATCGCCGAGCACATCGGCGCGAAGGTCCAGGTAGCACCAACAGTCACAGCCCCCCGTCCGCAGCAAGGGCGCCCGCAAGCGCTCACGGTCAGGCAAGCCCATGGCTCTGCGACTCAAAGAGCATCCTTGTGGCCTTCTACTTCGCGGTGTCAAGAGTCGGGCTCCCTAGTTCGACTGTCGAGCATCGCTGAACTCATGTCTGCGTATTCTTGTCGAGTTTCATCCTGAGGCATGGCCCGGCGACTTCCGGGTCCTCCTCGCTGTCCAGATGACGGACGTTACGTCGTTCACCTTGGAGAAGGACGTGCGTTGGTTCGAATCGCCCAGGGCAGGGCATCCTCGGAAAGCTGCGCGCGGACAGGACGCCGGCCGCACCGCAGATGGCCTCTGGCGCGCCCCCTCGGCGCAGCTACTCAAGAAGGTCCGGTCGATGTAATCGCACTCGCATCGAACCCAAGCTTGTTTGGAGGTGCGGCGTTAGATGGCATGGGCAGAGGGAAGTCCTCCTCCTCTACTCCTTGCCACAGTCCCTTCGGCAGAAGCGCCGTGCTGCGTTCTCAGCCCCGCAATAGAGCCGTGTATCGGCATATATATATATATATACACACATTTGTATATATATATATATGTATATATATATATGGTCAGCCCCCCCCCCCCATGATCCACACCTATGGTTTTCTTGTCTTCGTCTTTGTCTGATTTTCTGCTTTATCCTCGGAAAAATGCAGTAAAAACTGCACTGGAATACAAAAGCTCTATTATATTATCCTCTAGAAAAACACTAGTGTTTTTATGTGCATTTTGCTTCTGAAACTTGTGTCTTGCGGCCCCATAAAATTTTAGAAGGGCAGCCATTTAGAAGTTTAAGGCTTTTCAGGGTTTTAGGGGTTTATAAAACCTGGATGATCTGTGGAAGGCGCCGGGGCTTCCCCAGACCATTTGCAATCCTTCAAAGGGGCAGCCCTTTTCAAATTTGAAGGGCTTTAAGGTATTTAAAGCCTTTCAAAATTTTCAAGATTTAAAGGATCTTAAAAGGCTTTAAAGCCCTAAAAAACCTCGAAACGTTTATCCCTTAAAAGTCTAATCTTCCTTAAAAGGAAAAAAAACAAAAACGGGCAGCCGATTAAAATTAAGGAAGTTACGGATTTTGGAGTTGAACTTCCTAAAAACTTTAAACTTCAAAAGGACAGCCATTTACAACTGCAAGAATTTCAGGGTTTTACGGATTTGTAAAAATTTATATGGTCTGGGGAAGGCACCGGGGCTTCTCCAGACCATTGGCAACTTCAAAAATCTCTAAAACCCGCAAAGAGCAGCCACTTAAATACGTAAGCAATTTAAGGTCTTTAAAAGGCTTAAAAGGCTTAAAACCTTCATAATCCTGAGAATGTTTAAACAGAAGCTTAAAGATTTTTATAAGATTTTAAGGATTTTCAAGGTTTAGATGGTCTGGGGAAGCCCCAGTGCCTTCCCCAGATCATGTAAACTTGCAAAAACCCTTAAACCCTTAACCCTAAAAACTTAACACTAAGCCCGTAGAAACCCTCAACACTAACCCTACAAACTTAACACTAAGCCCTTAGCACAAACCCCAAACACTTAACATGAAACCCTAAACACTTAATTAAGCACTAGACCCTAAACACTAAACCCTAAACACTTAAACACTACACCCTAAAAACTAAACCCTAAAAACTAAACCCTAAACAGTACACACTAAACCCTACACACTAACCCTACACACTAAACCCTGAACACTAGTAAAAATCTTAACGCCCTGAATCCAAAAAACAAACCCGAAACCCTTAACACTACTAAACCCTAAAAACTCAGCACCAGACCCTAAACACTAACCCTAAAAACTTAACACTAAGCCCTTAGCACAAACCCCAAACACTTAACAGGAAACCCTAAACACTTAAGCACTAGACCCTAAACACTAAACCCTAAACACTTAAACACTACACCCTAAAAACTGAACCCTAAACATTACACACTAAACCCTACACACTAAACCCTGAACACTAGTAAACATCCTTAAGACCCGTAACCCAAAAAAGACACCGAAACCCTTAGCACTGAACCCTAAACACTCAGCACTAGACCCTTAACACTAAGCCTAAAAACTTAACACTAAGCCCTTAGCACGAACCCCAAACACTGAACACGAAACCATAAACACATAAGCACTAATCCCTTGCTAAACACTAAACCCTAAACACTTAAACACTACACCCTAAAAACTAAACCCTAAACATTACACACCAAACCCTACACACTAAACCCTGACAACTAAACCCTAAACCCTAAACAGAAGGATTTTCAAGTTGTCAATGGTCTGGGGAAGCCCCGGCTTCCCCAGATCATTTAAATTTGTAAAAACCCTTAAAACCCTGAACCCTAAAAAACCAAACCCGAAACCCTTAACACTAAACCCTAAACACTAACCCTAAAAACTTAACACTAAGCCCTTAGCACAAACCCCAAACACTTAGCACGAAACCCTAAACACTTAAGCACTTAACCCAGAAACCTTAAACATTTCAAACTAAGCCCTAAACAGTAGACACTAAACCCTGAACACTAATCCCTAAACCCTAAACAGTAAACCCCAAAGCCGGAACCTCGAGCCCTACTAAATCTAAACCTGAAACCAAAAACCCGTCGGGGTTTCAGATGCTTACTGTTTGGATTTCAGAGTTTAGGGGTTTTTTGGGGTTTTACCCGAGCCGCTTGACCCTAACCCCTAAACCCTAAACTTAACACTCAACCCTAAACACAAAACACTAAACCCTGAAACCTACACACTAAACCCTAAACACTAGACTTCCAGAAAAAATCTGGAGAACCCAGCCCCGGACTCCAGACTCCAGATTTCCAGAAAAAATCTGGAGTACCCGGGCCCCGGACTCCAGACTCCAGATTTCCAGAAAAAATCTGGAGTACCCGGGCCCCGGACTCCAGACTCCAGATTTCCAGAAAAAATCTGGAGTACCGGGGCCCCGGACTCCAGACTCCAGATTTCCAGAAAAAATCTGGAGTACCCGGCCCCCAGACTCCAGACTCCAGACTCCAGACTCCAGATTTCCAGAAAAAATCTGGAGTACCCGCGGCCCCAGACTCCAGATTACAGACTCCAGAATCTGGAGTCCAGGGTCCCGGTACTCCAGATTTTTTCTGGAAATCTGGAGTCTGGAGTCTGGAGGTACTCCAGATTTTCTCTGGAAATCTGGAGTCTGGAGTCCGGGGCCCGGGTACTCCAGATTTTTTCTGGAAATCTGGAGTCTGGAGTCCGGGCCCCGGTACTCCAGATTTTTTCTGGAAATCTGGAGTCTGGAGTCCGGGGCCCAGGTGCTCCAGATTTTTTCTGGAAATCTGGAGTCTGGAGTCCGGCGGTACTCCAGATTTTTTCTGGAAATCTGGAGTCTGGAGTCCCCCCCCCTCCCAAGACCCCCTTCCCGAGGCCAAATGTGTGGATCATGGGGGGGGGGGGCGAGCATATATATATGTGTGTGTGTGTGTGTGTGTGTGTGTGTGTGTGTGTGTGTGTGTGTGTGTGTGTGTGTGTGTGTGTGTGTGTGTGTGTGTGTGTGTGTGTGTGTGTGTGTGTGTGTGTGTGTGTGTGTGTGTGTGTGTGTGTGTGTGTGTGTGTGTGTGTGTGTGTGTGTGTGTGTTGTCTGTGTGTGTGTGTTTTGTCTGTGTGTGTGTGTGGTGTGTGTGTGTGTGTGTCTGTGTGTGTGTGTGTCGTGTGTGTGTGTGTGTGTGTGTGTCTCTGTGTGTGTGCGTGTCTCTGTGTGTGTGTGTCTGTGTGTGTGTGCACGTGTCTCTGTGTGTGTGTGTGCGCGTGTCTCTGTGTGTGTGTGTGTGTGTCTCTGTGTGTGTGTGTGTGTGTCTCTGTGTGTGTGCGTGTCTCTGTGTGTGTGTTGTGTGTGTGTCTGTGTGTGTGTGTGTCTCTGTGTGAGTGTGTGTGTGTGTCTCTGTGTGTGTGTGTGTCTCTGTGTGTGTCTCTGTGTGTGTCTCTGTGTGTGTCTCTGTGTGTGTCTCTGTGTGTGTCTCTGCGTGTGTCTCTGTGTGTGTCTCTGTGTGTGTCTCTGTGTGTGTCTCTGTGTCTGTGTGTGTCTCTGTGTCTGTGTGTGTGTCTGTGTCTGTGGGTGTGTGTGGTGGTCGTGTGTTGGTGTGTGTGTGTGTGTGTGTGTTTGTGTGTGTTTGTTTGTGTGTGTGGTGTGTGTGTTGTCTGTGTGTGTGTGTTTGTCGTGTGTGTGTGTGTCTCTGTGTGTGTGTGTGTGTGTGTCTGTGTGTGTGTGTCTGTGTGTGTGGTGTGTGTGTGTGTGTCTCTGTGTGTGTGCGTGTCTCTGTGTGTGTGTCTGTGTGTGTGTGCACGTGTCTCTGTGTGTGTGTGCGCGTGTCTCTGTGTGTGTGTCTCTGTGTGTGTGTGTCTCTGTGTGTGTGCGTGTCTCTGTGTGTGTGTTGTGTGTGTGTCTGTGTGTGTGTGTGTGTCTCTGTGTGAGTGTGTGTGTGTCTCTGTGTGTGTGTGTGTCTCTGTGTGTGTGTGTGTGCGCTGTGTGTGTGTCTGTGTGTGTGTGTGTCTGTGTGTGTGTCTCTGTGTGTGTGTCTCTGTGTGTGTGTGTCTCTCTGTTTGTGTGTGTGTGTGTGTGTCTCTGTGTGTGTGTGTGTCTGTGTGTGTGTGTCTCTGTGTGTGTTTGTCTCTGTGTGGTGTCTCTGTGTGTGTGTGTCGATGCATCGTTGTTGATAGTGCATGCATTGCCAGGAGTTCGTCTGACGACATTCAGTGGGCTCGACGCCGCGATAAAAAGTGGCGACTGGAGCCACCGCTCCACAACCCTGAGTTGGTCAGACTGCAGGCGAAAGCCTGAGCAGACGAGCAGCAGCCGCGTGTGGAAGCGATTGGACTGCAGCTTCCTCCGTTGTCCGAGGCCTTGGCAGCTGCGCGAGCGCCGGCCTAGAATATGTTACAATCGCTATTCTTCCGAGAGAATAAAAGTCAGACTGCTGCACGCAGAGAAGTGTCTGCGAACACGCAACCGTAAGAGCCGGCATCCCGAAGCAAGTGCCATGCGAATTTAAAGTTGAAACATCGAGCGATCGCGTCAACGCCGGCCTCGCAGTGAAGCGTTTCTTGATCACGAACTCCGCTCGGTCTATCGTCTATCCGCCCTCGCCCGCGCGGCAGCCTTAGACTAGATCGTCGTCGCGGTGAAGCATTTTCGCGTTTGTCGCATTGCGGGAGTGATGCGCAGGCTGCAATGGGCTCGAATCCGAAGACTGCGACGACCGTGGAAGAGGCTGTAGTCGACACGCTTCGGAAGCCTTGCGTCTTGTCTACGTTCTCCATTGCCTGCGCTGGCAGAGTGCGGATCCCAAGAGTTTCGAGGCAACTCGGCAGTTTTTGCTTGAGAAAGTTCCCTACGGAGTGGACGACGGACACACGTAAGGTTGCGGAAGGCATGTGGACGAGCATCGTTAACTTAACATGCCATACCTGGACCCCGAAACACCTACCAAAATCTAGGCGCTCGGCTATTTTTGAGCGGCGTTCAAAAACATGCAAATACGCAAAAATCCTAAAAGTAAACGCCCTCTTGAAATTCTAGGCGCACGCAGATTTCCACTGCAAAATTGAGCGTTTCATGTATTTCTAGGCGCGCTCAAAAAACGGTCAGCGTTTGAGGTTCCAGGTAGTGCCTGTGCCACTGTGTTCGGGAAGCATACCTGATCCGGATCCCCACGCTTAGGCCCACTATGTGAGGCGGGCGCAGTGCTATGACGCTTGTGGACTGCCTCTTCATGTGCAAGGCTCGAAAGGGTACGCAATGCATTTGCTGTTGTTAGTGGGTGTTGTATGTGATGTGGTCCAGGCTGAGCTGTTTCACGTATCCTGCATCAAGAGCTGAAGAGTGAAAGAGTTATGCAAAGTTTCTGCCTCGCCTGGGGACTCGAGGTGTGCCCTACACCAGGCGCCGGTGAGTTGTGTGGACGAACGTGGACGGTTCTAATGGTAACGCTGACGCTTGGGCCAACTCTGGGACCAGGGTGGGCAGCGGAGTGGCTGGCCCTAGGTGTAGTTCCAGGAGTGCCCGTGGTGTCATGACATTTTAGCTGTGCACGGATGCCCGTGCGCTGGCAGGACGGCAAGCCATCCCAAGCGCCCTACGCCAGCAGTGTAGCAGCTGAGGACTGGAGATCCCCAACACCTGCGCACACCATCTATTCAGTCAGTTATCGAGGAGTTCCGATGCAAAATGCAAAAACTTAACCGGGCGAGGGAAGCTTAGCTTTCAACCCGAAACGGTTTAGGGCTCAAGGCCTGTAGGATTCTGTGATACTACAGGGTTTGAGACTTGACGGAGCAAAGAGGTGTCCGATCTTGAAGCCAGCGTAGGGAGCACTTTGGCCGCCCAGGCGGCTGCAGCGACAACGGAGGTTGTGGCTGCGATGGTGGGTTCAAGATGGGCACGACGCCGCCTCAGGTGCTAACGTAGTCTACGCTACACTGTAGTCTAGTCTCCCACGATTGGCAATTGAGACGAGTTTGGACTGATGGGCTGACCAGTGGCCGCTGTTGCTTCCAGTCCTTCATCAGGCAGGCACCCATAGTCGATGCTTGTAGCACGCTGCAGAATCCATCTTCGGATCACCCAGGATGGGGAACATGATGGGAATCAAGGCCCCTTGAGGGCGCTGCGGTTGGGGCCCAGCGAGTTGCCGAAGCTCTTGGCTCTTCTGGCTGCGCGTGCAGCTCTTCGTTCGCTGGGGGGTTAGGCTTGTTCCTCTCATTTTCGGCCTTCGCAAGCGCTTGGTGGTATAAGGCTTGCGGGTTTTACGGGGGGTTTCGGGCTTTAAGCGTTTTGGGGTCGGGGTGGCACCGCGGCTGTTCTTATCGCACGGGCATGGAAGCTCTGGTCCACGGATACCCTGAGCATATAGACGTCATCCGAAACTAGAAGGGAGGGCCTAAAACTGGCTTAGACGGTCTTATTGCATGGGCAGGGATGCTCTGGTATAGGGATGTTGGACGGGTTTGGTAGCGTACACGTCGCACGGATATGGATGCGCCGCACATGTTCCAGTCGCCATTCACTGGCGCAGGTTCAAGAAGGGGAGGTCCCCGTGCGCTTGCATTTCCAGCCCACGAGCTTTCGGCTAGTCAGGGGCAACCAGATGGGAATGGCGCAAAGGAGGAATGGCGCAAAGGAGGAATGGTGCAGGGGATGTGTGCCGAGTTCGCCAAACCCCTTCCTTCCTCCCCACCCCCTTCGTCGAACCTTCGGCCTTCGTCGAACCCCTACGGCATTCGTCGAACCCCTTTTCCGGCCTCGAACCCTCCCGGCCTTCGTCGAACTTCGTTTTGGCCTGTGGGGTGCCGAGTACATTCGTCACGGGCCGCGGGTTGCTGGGCGTTCGCCTTTCGGCCATTCCCATCAGACTCCCCCTGGGCTAACCCCTACACACCCACCCTATATAAACCAACTCCCCATCTCCCATAAGAGAAATCACGCATTCAAGCTCGGTGTTAGCAACGTTTTCTGCATCTGCATAATAAATGAAAGATATATATGTACATATATATATATATGGGTGAGAAGATTATGCAAGGCATTGGGGGTCAATTCGAGGTCTAAGGTCCAAGACGGCCCTCGGCCCCAAACCCGAAAGTTTGAAGCTGTTTCTAACCCTCCCTGAAGGCTCCAGTGTCGTTCCTTTTGGGGTTAGTTATAGGGGTTTCATAACGGTTTTTGTGTACAGCCCTAAGAAGGTACTACATAGGAGCCTTTAGGTAGACCCGAGCATGATTCGGAAGTTGGCCTTTGATCTCTGGTGGTGCCCACTTTGTTGACCCTTGCCCCCGGTCCCCACCGAAAGCAAGTACCTAAGCCCTGCCGAAAGGCTCCAATGTCTAGTTCCTTTTGGGTTAGTTATAGGAGGTTATAATATCCTACACTAAGAAGGTACTAGATAGGAGCTTTTTGGGAAGCACTACGTCGAAGACTTTTGAGAAGCCCTAAATCTTAAACCCCAAACCCTAAACCCTAATTCCCAAACTCTAACCCCTAGACCCCAAACCCTAAACCCTAAATCCCAACTCTAACCCCTAGACCCCAAACCCTAAACCCTAACCCCAAACCCCAAACCCCAAACCCCAAACCCTACCAATCCAACCCAGGAACTGCAAGAATTGCCCAGCCCTGGAAGCCTACGGCGCCCCTAATGTCCTGGAAGACGGCAACTGCACTTTTGACTACTTCGCGTGGTCACAGCACCTTGGCTGTTTTAGGGTTTAAGGTTTAGGGTTTAGGAAGAAGCCCCGAAATCAATGAGTTCGTTTATGTTTCCGAACTCCACGTAGGGAGGGGGTTGTTTAAGGAAAGAGCCCGAGCAATTTCTAGGGTTGGGTTCCTACGTGTTGGGGTTTTGGGGTTTTGGAAGCTTATATGTCCTGGGAGGCGCAAGAGCGTTTACGTGACTGGCTGTGAGATGTGGGCATTTGGGGTTTAGAGTACCTTTTTGAACTTGATTAGGGTTTCGGGTGGGTTTTGGGTTTAGGGCTAGGGATTTAGGGTTTCCGGTTTAGGGTTTAGGGTTTAGGGAGGCTTGAAATACGCAGGCTGTTGAGGCTTTTGGCCCAAACGAATCCTTAGGATGCTGCTTCCTAGAGGCACAGCTACTGTGTACTTGGACAGTCTTGGTTGCCGGGGGTTCCTGGCAATCAAGACAAGATCCTTCATAGACTTCAAAAAATCCCCCCACGAAGTCGGCTGACGCTTACACACCCAAATTCAGAACAAGCGCAAGAAAAGCACGACCAGTTGAGGGCCTAGCACATCCTTTTGGGGTAGGTGGGTCGTTCCGTAAACCTGGTCGCTTTGGGGGTCCTTTCTGGTCTGGCACCCTTAGCAGAAACTATCCAGGTACAGTGCAAGTTTATTTCGGGCCAAGTGCTATGTAGGCTCCCCGGTACCCTAAACCCTACACCCTGAACCCTAAACCCTGAAACCAAAACCCTAAGCCCTGAACCCTAAACTGCCCTAAACCCTAAACCCGAATTAAACCCTAAACCCTAAACAAATATTCCGTTTCAAATCCAACCAGGAGCTTCCTGGGGCATCATGGGGAGCTCGTCGCCGAAAGTGGGCTTAGACTGGAGGCCCGTCGGCCCACAACCTCACAACATATACTTGGGGGTTCATGGGTTGCTGTAAGTAGGGCTATAAGTACTGTCAAGTAAGGTTAACCATAGTAGCCCTACTTAGAACCCTACCAATTAAGTATGAACCTCCGAGTAGGTTGTTTTTGGGTTTGGCGGGGGGGGAGGGGGGTCGGGGTTACAGTTTGGGCTTTGTAGTATTTAGGCGTTAGGCTTTCGGACCTTAGAGTTTAGGGGTCAGGATTTAGGGTTTAGGGCTTAGGGTTTAGGGTTTAAATCACCCCAGAGCCTTGCATTGCGTCGTACACACGACAAATTTGCTCGGCCGCCTTTCAGGGGGCGTAGATTCCTCCCCTGCCCCTCCTCAACCCATCAACAACTTGGGGAGGGGTTTAGGGTTTAGGGTTTAGGGTTTAAGGTTTCGGGTTTCGGGTTTAGCCAAAAGCCCCCTCTGAACCCAAGATGGCCGAAACAGCCCTTATAAGCCCCTTATGTACCCTAATCATTAGGGTTATAATTGCGTTATAAGTACAGTGATAATTGGCTTACTAAGTACCCTGACCTAAACCCTAAACCCTAAACCCTAAACCCTAAACCCTAAACCCTAAACCTTTAAGTGGGGGTACTTCTATGGGCCTCTGACATGGTCCCTTACCTCCTTTTATGGGCCCTTGGGTTGTATAGGGTATATTCGGGGTCTACAAGGGGTCCCCGTGTCAGGCCCCACATTAAGGGGCCATGTAACTACCCTTAGAAGCTTTACGCGTTCAATAACGGATCCTAATGGAAACCCCAAACAGGGAACCCCAAGAATAGAGTAGGAGTTTAGAGCGGGCGTAAGGAGTTTGCTGGGTATATTCTACCATTAAACCCTACTATAGTCTTCGCGTATATGTATATACATAGATGCATATTTCGGCTTACTGATATGTATATATGTATGTACACATATATATATATATATACATATCCCTAAGCCCGAAACCCTAAACCCTTACCCAGTAAGGTACCTCATTCCCTCATTCCAAGCTAAGACTAAGCCAGGCCCGGTTCCGAAGCCTCCCAGAGAGCCGCTACGCGCGCTCGCAGCCCCTCGGGTGAAGTTTAGGGTTTAGGGTTTAGGGTTTGGGGTTTAGGGTTTGGGGTTTAGGGCTTAGGGTTTGTTACGAAGGCTTCGCGCGATTTTTCGGTGTGGAAGGTTTTCTTTCAGGGTTTAGGATTTAGGTCTTTTCGGGGGGTTGCAGGTTGAGTTCTTTCAGGCTTTCGGTAGCTGAGGGCTTAGGGTTTAGGGTTCCGTACGTTGCGCTTTTTGGGCTGACTGCTTTCCGCTGAGTTTTCATAGAGGGCCTCCGACTTTGACCTTTGCTTATCTCTCGAGGTTAGCACATTCCCAGTTTCGCTAAGGCCCTCCTTGCATGCTCTGTTTAGGGTTTAGAATTTAGGGATGTTTAAGGTTTAGGGTTTAGGGTTTAGGGCTTAGGGTTCTGGAAGTTGCAGTAGCTAATCCCTCAACCTTAAACTAAGAAAACCCAAAGCCACCAGCCCCCCCAGGTTCACCAAAGCACTTGGCGGCCGGGATGAGCATTTTCTCAAGATCGAGGCGGCCAGACGTCTCCATGTGCTGGATATCCGTGCCTCTGGCGGTTTTAGGGTTTAGGGTTTAGGATTTAGGGTTGTAGGGTTTAGGGTTTAGGGTTTAGGATTTAGGGTTTAAGGTTTAGGATTTAGGGCTGTAGGGTTTCAGGGTTGAGCGTTTGTGGATCAAGCACCCCAGGCCCCAAAACTACCCGGCGCACGCCATGAAAGCCCTGAACTCCGAAATTAAACCCCTGCACCCCTAAACTCCTAAATCGAAAAACCCTAAACCCCCAGATGTGAACCCTAAACCCCCAAATCTTAAACCTCGAAACGCCTCAAAGCCTGAACCCGTACATCCAGCCTACAAGACCCAAAGTCCTATACCCAGGCGCCGCTTTCCAGGATGTGCAGCGCGCCGGCTTTGGACCGGCGGCGGTCTTCGCCCCTGGGACTTTGGGGGGGTTTAGGGTTTAGGGTTTAGGGTTTAGGGTTTAGGGTTTAGGGTTTGCGGGTTTCGCCGAAGGTTGGAAGTATGCGGCGCTTAGTATGGTCCCTTACCCTTGTTTAAAGGCATTTAAAGGGATCCGAAGTGTGGGCCCGCATTATGCAAAGTGCACAACAGGATCATATCACAGGGAGCCCCCAATTCAGGGCCCATACTTCGGATCTCCTACTTGCGGGTTTCGGGCTTAGGATCCAGAGTGTAGGCTTTCGGGTTTAGAGTGTAGGGTTTCGTAACCCTAAACCCTAAACCCTAAACCCTTGGGGTCCAAGGGTTTAGGTTTTTTTGTTTTTGGTGGGGGGGGGGGGGGGGGGGGGGGGGGGGGGGGGTTGGGGGGGGGGGGGGGGTGGGGGGGGGGGGGGTTGGGGGGGGGGGGGGGGGGGGTGGGGGGGGGGGGGGGTGGGGGGGGGGGGGGTTGGGGGGGTGAAATGTGGGGGTGGGGATGGGGGGGGGGGGGGGGGGGAGGGGGGGATAGGGTATTGCACTAGCATGGACGAGTCCCAGGCTCCTGGTTTGAGGCTGACTTTAGCAGGGGGGGATAGTTGCACTAGCATGGACGAGTCCCAGGCTCCTGGTTTGAGGCTGACTTTAGCAGGGTTGTAGGGGGTTTTTGGGTTTCGGGTTCAGGGTTCAGGGTTTAGGGTTTAGGGCTTAGGGCTTAGGGGGGATGGGGTTTAGGAGGAGCTTCACCCAGAGACTCCAGTACCGCTTCATGAAGGAATATTCCTTCAACTTCAACCATATAAGGGGGTGTTGGAGGTTCCAACTTTGAAGGCAAGAAGTCCAAAGCCTGGCAGCATTCTTACTATTTAAGTCAAGAGTGAGGAGTGTCGCCACCACGACTGGCCAGTCGGCTGGATGGCCTGCAGAGATCAGCGCTTCGTGAGATACCACGGACACCTGGGACAGAACTGGGCCCCGAACTAAATCGAAAAGAGGGCCCCAGATCTTCCAAAACCCCTTAGTTAAGGAACATACCCTTGTTTCAGAATAATGAACCGTAGTAGAAATTAGGGTATATTCCTTAATACTTAATTAAGGGGTTTTGGAAGATCTGGGTCGTTGTCAGGTGTTCTGATAATAGGGTTGTTGGCCCCCACCCAGTCATCGTCCCAATACAGGTGAAACAGGGTTCTTAACATGATAGTTGCTACAGCGGGGGCACCTTTTGGTCACTATTGATTGGATTGCGGTGGGCGCTAGAGCATTGAGTCAGTTGCTATCGCCGTCCAGGACAGTTTTCGAAGTGCAAACCGGGCGAGGCGCAGACGGGCTGCGGCTATCGTGGCATCACCTGTTCCTTGTGGATGAAACTAACCCCGAAGCTGAGTAGGTCGCACGACCCCCCCCCTTTTCACGTAGTCAAATAACGCTTAAGCCCTAAACAATGCTAAATGTATGCAAGCACCCGAGTCCAATCAATCCCTTATTGACCGCAAACAAACCCTAAGCACGGAACACAAACACAGGCGTTTAGTCCAAACGCTACTGCCCACATGGGTACCTCCCAAAACAGGACTGCCTTTTTAAATACACGCACACAGAGTAGAAGCTCCCCCACAAAGATACCCTACATGGATCCCACAAACTCCTGTTTACATTCAGGGCACATGGACCGCCCTCTGCCCCATAAGCTCCAAGCCCTACACCCTGAACGCACTAAACCCTAGGAGCCCTAACACCTAGGTAAACCCTAACCCCCTTATGAGCCCCAAAACCTAAAACCTAGAAGCCCTCAAGTACTAAACCCTCTGAGCCCTAAACCCTATGAACCCTAAACCCGAAGCCCTAGAAGCCCTATACCCGAACACCTCGTAGCCCTAAACCCTAAACCCTAAACCCTAGCCCTAAACCCTAAACCCTAAACCCTAGCCCTTAACCCTAAACCCTCTAACCCCTCTAATCCCAAGGCTGCGATGCCTTCTGGGGCTGGGGCGAGAAGCTGGAGTACTTCACGGGCAAGCCGTGGAACTTGCCATGCAACTGTGGGCTGTCGGGCTGCCAGGAGCCCGGGGTTTAGGGTTTAGGGTTTAGGGTTTAGGGTTTATAGGGTCTATGGTTCAGGATTTAGAGTTCAGAGTTTGCGATCTAGGGTTTGGGGTCTAGGCTTTAGGTTTTAGGGTTGAGGTGTTGGGGCTTTAGGTGCGAGGGTTTAGAGAATGGGGGGTCTAAGGTTTTTGAGTTGGGAATTCGGGAGGGCCAGACGGGTTCAGCGAGCAGGTGCAAATGTTTCAGAGCCCTGAACCCTAAACCCTCAACCCTATGCCCTATAAACCCTAAACCCTCAACCCTATGCCCTATAAACCCTGAACCCTCAACCCTATGCCCTATTAACCCTAAACCCTCAACCCTATGCCCTATAAACCCTGAACCCTCAACCATATGCCCTATAAACCCGTAAAACACACTCTAAAACCAAAAAGCCCTGCCGGTCCCTGCCCGCCCCAAGCAAGACACAAATGAGTTCCAAAACCCAACAGGGCTTTAGCACAACCCTACCGGGCCCTGCAAAAAAAAAAACTCCCCTCAACCCTATACCCTATAATCCCCAAACCCTAATCTCCACTCCCTAAACCCTAAGCCCTTAACCCTAAACCCCAAACCCCAAACCGCAACCCCTAACCCCTAAACCCCAACCCCTAACCCCTAACCCCTAAACCCTAAACCCTAAACCCTAAACCCTAAACCAAACCCTAGCCCTAAACCCTAAACCCTATAATCCCTACAAGCCCAATAGACACTGCAAAAAGCGGAGGAGCAGACTGGAGCCTCCGGCTCTGATAGGAACTCCAAGGCCTGCTGCGCTCACGCCCCTGGGTCACATAATTTAATGTAAGTTTAGGGTTTAGGGTTTAGGGTTTGGGGTTTAGGGTTTAGGGTTTAGGGTTCAGGGTTTAGGGTTTAGGGTTTAGGGTTTTTTTGTGTAGGGTTTGGGGTTTGGGGGGCGATAGGTTTCCAGGTTGGAGCTCCGAGTTTTGTTTAAGAGGGTTTCGGCAAATGTCTCGGGGCTACAAGCTTAAGGTTCCAGGTGGTGAGGGCCTTCTTTTCGTTCAGTTCTCGAAGTTGCTGTCACTTTGGGGTTTCCGATCGTCATGCGGGGCCAAATACTTAGGGTACCCTCCCAAAAAAGTGCCCATGATTCAGAGCCATCCCAATTTGGGGCTTGCGGGTTCGGAGTGGGTTTTCGCTGCACAGAACCCTAAACCTTAAACCCTAAACCCTAAACCAACTCATTCATGTATTGTCGTGTAGAGCTTTGGCCTCATATAGGCGCTATGATCTTGGTTGGGTCTAGGGTTTATAAGGGCTAAACCCTAAACCCTAAACCCTAAACCCTAAACCCTAAACCCTAAGGGTTTAGGGTCTAGCTTAAGGGTTCGTGGGGAATTGGGCTTCGTAGTGACCCAGGTCTCGGGCGGGCCGCCACGCTGCGACCGGCGTGCCTTTGCCGCACCTGTGTTTTGTTCGTAGTCTTCTCCGTTTCTGCTCTAGATTTGCAGCACGGTGTACCGGTTTTTAAGATTTCGGCTTTAAGGTTTAGGGATATAGTCGGGCTTTCCTTCGTTTGGGTGGGCGGAGGGTTCGGCTGTGCTGGGTTGAACTAAACCCTAAACCCTAAACCCTAAACCCTAAACCCTAAACCCTAAACCCCAAATACGATGTCTGGTCAAAGCCTTGACGATGCCCTGTTCCTGGTGTTTGCAATGCACCGTGCAGGTATCCGGCCTGAGTCCGTGCCCGATGTGAACACCCCAGAAGCTGGATGCTGAATAGGGTTTAGGGTTTAGGGTTTAGGGGTTAGGGGTTAGGGTTTAGGGGTTTCGGGTTTAGGCGTTTAAGGGGTAGGGTTACGGGTTTAGGGTTTAGGGAAGGTGTCCTTTTACACACACACACAGACACACAGACACACAGACACACAGACACACAGACACACACACAGAGACACACACAGAGACACACACAGAGACACACACAGAGACACACACAGAGACACACACAGAGACACACACAGAGACACACACAGAGACACACACAGAGACACCCACACAGAGACACACACAGAGACACCCACACAGAGACACACACAGAGACACACACAGAGACACACAGAGACACACACAGAGACACACACAGAGACACACACAGAGACACACACAGAGACACACAGAGACACACACAGAGACACACACAGAGACACACACACACACACACACAGACACACACACACACACACACACACACACACACACACACAGACAGACACAGACACACACACACACACACACACACACACACACACACACACACACACACACACACACACACACACACCAACCAACGGCCCTAAGTCCTAGGAAGACACCGAGTCCCTCACCTCAACGGCACTGGCGGATTTGGCCAGCCCCTCCCGGAACGTGACCGCTTTCTGGCACACCTGCCGGCTCAACAGGTGGGCGGGGTGGGGGGGGGGGGGAGGGCGAGGGGTTCAGCTCAAATTGCTCTGCTTTCAGGATTTTGGGGGATACCGAGGAATGGTAGTTTACAGGGTTTTCTGAGTGTGTATTTAATTTGTTGCTTCTACCCTAAATCCTAAATCCTAAGCCCTAAACCCTAAACCCTAAACCCTAAACCCTAAACGAGGCAGCTTCGCTTTTCAGACACAAGCGTCGATGAGCTGGTTTTTGCCTGCCACAGGCTTGCGACCCGCCACTTGGAACTTTGCTACGGTTCACTTAGGGCTTGGAGTTTAGGGTTTAGGGTGTGAGGTTTGGGTTTAGGGTTTAGGGTATAGGGTTCATCTTTCCATAGCCGCACATTTGTTCATTCTGCCTGCCCTCTACAACGAATCCTATTTTAGGGTTTTTTGGGGGCCCAAAGGCCTTCTTATAGCAGGTTTGTGGGCCAGTTTGCTAAACCCTAAACCCTAAACCCTAAACCCTAAACCCTAAACCCTAAACCCTAAACCCTAAACCCTAAACCCTAAACCCTGCAGGGTTTTTGCTGCTCAAGCAGAACTTCGACGCGCTCGGGGCCTGGTGTCGCTTTGCGCACGGGGAGCTGCGACGAGGGGTGGAGGGAAGCAGCAGCTCCCTGTTCCCCGCAAGCTGGCCAAGCGCTTCCGCCTTGCCAGTGACCGGGTCATCGTTGAAAACCATTTTACATTCTTTATGACTACTTAAAACATCTTAAAAGCCATTAATTATGGAAATTTTACATTTTTTTGACTACTTAACACATCTTAAAAGCCAATAATTAAGGAAACATGATCATTTTCAATGGTACCCCAACGCAGGTGAGGGATGCAGAGACTGGGTAGGGCCTTGGGACATTTTGCGTTTGTTTATTGGGCTTAAGAGGATCACATGTTATCTTTTTAGAGGGTTTAAACGGCCTACCTAGGAGATGGGAGAACTGGAGCAGCTGAGCGATCAGCACATGCCACGCAAACTGTCGCACGACCTGGCGCAGCTGCAATTTCTGGGGGATCAGTTCTCGCGCACGGCCAAGGATTCGGGGCCCAAAAAGCCACATGGACATAAGGATCCTACTATATTGGGATAGAAGGGGCAAGGGGGATTCTGGGACACCCTGTTTGTAGAACCCTTATGCCTTATGTGGGTTTTTTGGCGCCCTGAAGGAGCTGCAGACACTTGGGCCGGAGTGGCCGGCGGGCAGGTACGTGGGCAACCGAGCCCACTTCGTTCCAAAGTTGCGCCTGGCAGAGGAGGTCTTTGGAGCTGGGATGCTAGATGCAGCTCCTCAGCATAAGGCCTCTGGGACATGTTGTATCTTATAAGTTGTATCTTCCAACGCCATTGGATGTAACTAGATCTGGTTTCGGAGTCCTGTTCCTGAGCCCTTAAACCCTAAACCCTATAAACCCTAAACCCTAAACCCTAAACTCTAAACCCTAAACCCTAAACCCTAAACCCTAAACCCTAAACCCTAAGCCCAACCCAGCCGAGGTTGAAGACACTGGTCAGGGCGTGGTGATGGTGGATCGCGTGCTGCAGCCGGAGGCTGCAGAGCGGATCTGGAGGTGGATGGCGCAAGCCACCATCTGGCACGCCCCAAAATGGGACGGCGGCTCGGTTTAGGGTTCAGGGTTTAGGGTTTAGGGTTTAAGTTTAGGAATGTCGCAAGCCTTCTTTGCTGACTCTTGTTTTTCTCCGCGCTCACACACACAGACAAAAGCAGAAAGCAGAATACTGGGATTCGAAAACCCTATAAGCCCTAAACCCTATAATCTAAACCCCAAACCGAGAGCGAACAGGAAGAGCCTAGGCAGCGTTCTTCAGTCTTCAGGTTTTGAATTAGAAACAACAAGCTTCAGGTTTTCAATTAAAAGCGAAAATTCGGCAGAGCCAAGGTAGCGTTCTTGAGGCTTCCCTTCTGGACGGCTTGAACTGCGAGGCCACCCTAAACCCTAAACCCTAAACCCTAAACCCTAAACCCTAAACCCTAAACCCTAAACCCTAAACCCTAAACCCTAAACCCTAAACCCTAAACCCTAAACCCTAGACCCTAGACCCTAAGCTGCATTGAACTGCGAGGCCCTCCTTTCACTGGTGCAGGCCCTCTGCTCTTTGAAGCTCGTGCAAAGCATGGCCGGGAGGCATGGCGCCGCTGGGCCCGTTGTGATGACGTTAAGATAGGGGTTTAGGGGTTTAGGGGTTTAGGGGTTAGGGTTTAGGGTTTAGGGTTTAGGGTTTAGGGTTTAGGGTTTAGTGGCTGCATGCCAGCCTTTTGAATGCCCAGCTGAGGCCCAGCTTGTTGTGGACGACATGTGGGCATGGAAGTATGACCCGGCACTCAACAGCGTATCCGTGCCGATTGAGGCTCAAGGACTCTAAAGGGGACCCTTAAAAGGGACCTGGTTATTTAGGGGCTTCTTAAGGCTTAAGGTATATATAATAGGAGTTATTTCGGGGAATGAGATGAAGGGTCCTTTCTAGGGGTCTGTCCTTGTATTCCTTCACAGGCGGGCAGCTGGTCAGGAGATCCGCCAGATCTGCTTGCAGCCCTGTCCCTGAGCAACTTGATGGCCCAGTGGTATCCTGTTGCCTTTTTTATTGTAAAGGCTCAAGGTTACTACTAGTTGCTTAAGTTTTTTTTTTTTTGGGAGGGGGGGGGGTTCTTGAGCAAATAGCAGTGGAGTAGCCCCACAAGGGGTGCTCTTTCTGAAATGATGGTTACTGGGCTACCAAGGCAGGGAGCCAGGGCCTGATGCTTGGCAGCCCAGTGGTACCCTTTTGCCCTTTTTTGGGTTCAAGGTTCCCTTGTACAGGTAACCAACCCCGCCAAAACAGGCCCTGAACCCTAAACCCGAAACCCTGAACCCTAAACCTTAAACCCTAAACCCTAAACCGTGATCACCCTTATGGTTGCTGTGCTACCGAGGATGACGGGATCAGACTGGAACGTGGTACTGAGAAGCGTTTCCTTCCACGCAGGCACCCGCGACGCAAACGGGCGCAAAACGCTGAGCCTATAACGGTTTAGGGTTCAGGGTTTAGGGTTTAGGGTTTGGGGTTTAGGGTTCGACATCCGTATGTCCCTAGACCCTTTTCATTGAAAGATATATATGTAGGCCCTAAAACCTCTACACTGCAGGCTCGAGATTCCGTCGGAACCTAAACAGACTGAGTGGGCTGGCTGTGGAGAAGCCCCAGTGGGTATATTCACGGAAACCTTGAGGAATACAACCTAAACCCAAAACCCTAAACCCTAAACCTGAAGGCCTTAAGGAATACAACCTCACAATACGAGCCTTAATCCCTTGAGCGATGGTAACTTACTTAAGGCTCCTTAGCAGCATCTGTGCTGGGAGCTCCCAGTCGGCCCTTGCTTTCCTTTTTGTGTCTGTAGGGTTTAGGGTTTAGGGTTTAGGGTTTAGGGTTTAGGTTTAGGGTTTAGGGGGGTCCTAGGTTCCCTACCATAGGGGTGTGAGGGGTGAAGCCCTATAAACCCTAAACATTAAGCTTGCTGGGGATCCCTAGGTTCAGGGTTTAGGGTTTAGGGTTTAGGGTTTAAGGTTTAGGGTTTAGGGTTTAAGGTTTAGGTTTAGGATTTAGGGTTTTGGGTTTTGGGTTTTGGGTTTTGGGAGAAGGCAGAACCAGCTGGTCCTCTGGACGCGCGCATGGAAGGGGGGCGCATCTTTGTCGATGGAGTCTTGGCCTTGGCGGGTTTTAGGCTTTTAGGGTTTGGGGTTTAGGGTTTAGGGTTTCGGGGTTTAGGGTTTAGGGTTTAGGTTCCAAGGTTTAGGGGATTAGGGCTCAGGGTCTTGAGATTTAGGGTTTGGATGTTTTTGGGGGTTTAGGGTTTGGTGGTTTTGGTGTTGTTTGCTGAACTTGCCGCAAAGCCGAGGACAAGGATGTCAGATATGAGCATCGGCCAGTGGACTTGTTTGTCGCCTTTCGCAAGAGCCTTGGTCACAAGGTCTATCCTGGGTGGACGGCGTGCCTCCGCCGCATCTGAAGGTTTCGTTAGCCTTCGTTGCAGCTGCAGCGCGCAAACCCTGAGCACCCGACATCGTTGGCCACCCTAAACCTTAAACCCTCAACCCTAAACCCTAAACCCTAAACCCTAAACCCTGAACCCTGAAAAGCCTAAACCCTGAACCCTAAACCCTAGACCGTTTTTTTCAGCCAAACTCCGCAGGCACATGTCCACGAGGTGGCCGGCTTCGACCGATCTTGGGTGACCTGGCGACCCTGCTGTCGCACGTTCAGCCGAAGACTTCGCTGAGGAGGACCCCTCCCTAAATCCTAAACCCTAAACCCTAAACCTTAAACCCTAAACCCTAACCCCCCCCGCCCTGTGGGCTCTTATAGCTTTCCCCAAGGGTCCATGTATCTCATTATTGTATACTTGGGCCCCAAAGTCCTTATATAGAAGGTACTGTAAGGCCCAAGTATACCCTATTTAGGTACATGGACCCTTAGGGTTTCAGTTTGTAGGGGGTTTATCTTAGACCCAGACCCCAAAATGGTCGGTTGGCAACAATTGTGGTCCCTTCTGAGGTTACCATTCTGAGGTGGGCCCCTACTATCTAGGGTATCCAAAAAGGGACACATCATGTAAAGAACTGACCAAATCTCAACTCCTAGATCCTACGGCCGAAGCCGAAACCGGACCGTTCTGGAGGTATGAGGCTTCGCCGACTCCCACGCTCTGGAAGTGACTTTAGAAAGCAGCTAGCATAGCTGGGACCGCCTGTAGTTTTCGTCCGACTTCCGCTTTGGGCTGAGTTTCCTTCTGAAGCCCATTAGTTTAGGGTTTAGGGTTTAGGGTTTAGGGTTTAAGGTTTAAGGTTTAAGGTTTAGGGTTAAGAGAGAGGCTCGCTTGCTTTCCGAGGTTCCATGGGAACCCTGCAACTGCATGGCGAGATGGAGCCCGCAAGCGACGAGAGGGTGCCAGCGTCACCCGCTCCTAATGTTTAGCACGCGAGATCCTCGCCACTCGGCCTTTTATAGGGCTTAGGCTTAGGGATAAGCGTTTTGGGTTTAGGGTTTAGGGTTTGTTCACACACTCTGCACACATAACCCCAGCACCCTTTTGCCTTTTGTTTGTTTCAAGGTTCCCTTACAAAGGAACCAACCCCAAAAGGGTACGCTTAGTATAATATGGTTGCTGGGCTACCAAGGGTCTAGGGGGTTCAGGGCTCCATAGGGTTTAGGGTTCTAGGGGTTTCGAGTTTTGGGTTTGGGGTTTTTTGGCCTTCAGGGTTTAGGGGTTTAGGGGTGCAAGGTTTAGGGTTTAACTAGGTTTTGAGGAGGTTCAGAGCTCAGCCTAAGCCCTAAGCCCTAAACCCTAAACCCTAAACCGGAGCCCTAAACCTTTTGGGAGTATCTCCCCCCGCTTCCCCAACAAGACTGCGCAGTCCAAACTTTCCATTGCATTGAGGACCGCCTGGGAGACCTAAACCCTAAACCCTAAACCCTACAACCTAAACCCTAAACCCTAAGCCCTATAAGCCCTAAGCCCTAAACGCAAACCCCTAAACCATGTAAAGCCCAGGTTTAGGGCGCAGAGTTTCGAGCTCGAAGATGTAAACAGCCCCGAAAACTCTTCAGTGTTGAGTTGAAATCTGAAGTCACCCGTGGGCACTGTGAACTGCCTTAAACTTTATGAACTTTTGAACACAAAAATGGGTTTGAGGTTTAGGGTTTTTTCTTTATCCGCACTTGTACAAATCTCAGCCGATACCGGTGTTCCAACTGTTAGCACGCCCTAGAAAACCCCGAGCCCCAAACCCTAAACCCTAACCCCAAATCGCCAAATCGCTAAACCCTAAACCCTAAATCCTAAACCCTAAAACCCACCCTAATTAAACCCTAATTAAACCCTAACCCTACACCCTAAACTTCGAACCCCACACCCTAAGGGTCCATGTACCTCATTTTCATATACTTGGGCCTTCAAGTCCCTGCATAGGAGGTACTTCACACTGGCTCAAAACCCAACTTTTCAACTTGTGGGCCTCTTATAAGGTAGTTTATTCTGAAAGTTTCAACTTTTATTTCATGGGGTTTTAGGCCAGTAAGACTTTAAGGCCCAAACATATAATTAGGTACATGGACCCTTGGGGACAGCTTTGAACACCAATCCCCGAATCTCCAACACTCGCCACGCTCAAGAAGCTGACTCTCAGAGGTTGTCACCTCCGAAGCCCGTCCAACACGCCGCCAAGGTCGGGGTAAAGGGCGAGAGTAGGGTTTGGGGTTTAGGGTTTAGGGTTTAGGGTTTAGGGTTTAGGGTTTAGGGTTTAGGGTTTAGGGGTTCAGGGTTTTGAGTAGGGAACCGCAAGCCCTAAACCCCCACACAAGCACTAAGATGCCGCGATATCGAGAGAACCTGCCTTGGGCTGAAAGGGTCCGTTTTAGGGATTCTGGGGCTTTAGGGTTTAGGGTTTAGGGTTTACGGTACAGGGTTCAGGGTCGAGGGTTTTGGGTAGGTGTTCCCAGAGACTCCAGGATCCCTTACTCAAGGAATATACCTTAATTTTATAGTAGGATCCCTTATATGATTTAACGTATATTCCTTAGTTTTAGGGGATATTGGGAGTCTTTGGGTTGCTGATTTATGGTCAGGTGGGTTCTCCGCAAGGCAGCAGCAACGTTCTTCAATCGCGTGGCGAGGGGCTTCGGATTGCGGGCTTGATGATCCCAAGCCCTGCAGGTCCTAAATCCTGAGCGCGAAGCCCTAGTCTTGATGGTTCGCTGGGACCCTAAACCCTAAATCCTAAACCCTAAACCACTTTTGGGACTTCAGTGTGTTTCCAGGAGGGGAGGTCGACTGGACCCGCGACGGAGGACAAAGCCCAGAGCCAACGTATCTACTACATAGGCAACCAGATCGTCCAAAACCCCTCTTCGTTAAGGAGTATACCCTAATTGATACTAAGGATCATGATTATGAGGTAGGGTATATTCCTTAAGGGTTTTGGAGGATCTACATACTATTTGCTCACGAACACCACCTGAAAAAATGCAAATATTCCTCCTTCTTATGGGTAAACTAGGAATTCTTCTCTGTATTCTGAGTCCCGGGATGTTGCCCCTTATACTTCCAGTCCTTAATCGGGGTGATAGTACGCCCCCCCCCCCCCCCCCCCCAAAAAAAAAAAAAAAAATCAAAAAAACTGAACCCTAAACCCTAAACCCTTGGTCCTTCGGGAGCCCAAGAAGGAGCCTTTCTCCTCGGCAGTCTCCTGCGGTACCGCGAGTTGGCACGAAGTTGTGGGAAGGACGAGGATCGGTCTACGCACCCTTGGTTTAGGGTTCAGGGTTTAGGGTTTAGGGTTCAGGGTTTGGGGTTTGAGGTTTAGGGTTTAGGTTTGGGGCGGCAGCACCCAACGTTCCCGCCTAAATCCTGAACACCTACAGCCCCCAAAACCCTGGCCCAGAATCCTCAGACATCACCCTAAACCCGAAAGCCTAAACCCTAAACCCTAAACCCTAAACCCTAAACCCTAAACCCTAACCCTAAACCCTAAACCCTAAACCCTAAACCCTAAACCCATCACCGCAGCCAAGGCAATGACCTCCCTCCACGCCTCCACCGCGCGCGGGCGCCCGCGGCGCCGGCGGCGCTGCCAGAGTTTGGCAACGCCTCGGCCGTTCTGCCGAAAGGATCCATGTACCCAGATCTTCCTAAAAACCCCTTAATTCAGAAGTATGCCCGAGTTCATAATAATTGATCCTTAGTATAGTAAATTAGGGTATACTCCTTAATTTAAGGTGTTTTTGGAAGATCTGGGTACCTGTGTAGCATATACTTTGGCCCTTATATGGACATCCCATTTAAGGCCCAAGTATGTAGAGGGCGCGCATGGCAATGGGCCGCTCGCAAAAATTGCCTGTAAGGATGTTTAGCAGGAGGGGCACAAGTGCTCGCACAGATTCGTGTTTGGAAGAGGTACGTGTTGAATGCAGATTCGTGCTCGGAAGAGATAAGTGATGAATGTAATTGTACCTCAGGAGATGCCATCCTGACTTGTCAAACTTCCGAAGCCTTGCGGTCGAAGATACTAAATTTGACACAATTATCCACAAGATTCTGCAAAAAAAGACGCGCCTGCACACTGATTGCAGCTGTCACTTGCGCCAAAACAGCCCGCACCGCCAGGGCCCCACCTTTTTTGTGTGTGGACCCTGTGTAAGAAATCCTGTCGTAAAATATGTTTTGTTGTGTTTCGTTCTTATAACTTATATATATATATAAGGACCGAATTGAGAGCAACAACCCCCCCCCCCCCCCCCCTCGCCCTACATGTGCTTGTCGGCTACGGGCAGGATCCTTTAGCAAAAGACCTCCCCGAACTCCCCGAAGATAGAGGACCACCCGACTTTGCATTTGCGGTTCGAGGTTCTGGGTCATTAGGACCGTGTAAGGCTTAGGGTTTAGGGGACGTAGAGACTGGAGCATGGGAGTAGGGCTTAGGGGTTTGGCATTTAGGGTTTTGGGTTTAGATTGTTCCAGCAAAGCATACAACCACAACGCGCGCAGCTCAAGCACCTGCTCAGGCAACGTCCCGGCAATGCTGTAAAGCGAACCATGAGGTTTAGGGTTTAGGGTTTAGGGTTTGGGGTTTAGTGTTTAGGGTTTAGGGTTTTAGGTTCCCCGAACGCCCATCTGAGCCCTCCAAGGACCTCTGATCGATGTACCGTGCTTGAAGGCCCAAAGGGGATCACTACCTGGCTAGATTTTAGGTTGCTACCCTGTTGGGAGTCCACAATCTGGCCTGAAATAAGCTACGCCAAACACAGACTGGCATGCATCCCCAAGCAAAACTAGTAAGTAAGTCTCGTGAACATTCATGATAAAAGGGGTCTAGGCCAAAACCCAAGCGCAAACCCTACACCCTGAGGCAAAGCTGCCAAGAAGCCGACCAAAAATCCTACACCCTGCGGCAAAGCTGCCAAGAAGATCCCCAAAAATATCGCCCATCCAACTCACGATTTCGAGAAAAAGGGTTAAGTGTTTAGCCATGGCGCGTGTCCTTACTCTGGCACGCAGGCTGCACAGCACCAACGCGGCACAAGCCATGGTGCTGGTTGCCAGATCTTGATATTGCCCTAAACCCTAAACCCTAAACCCGAAACCCTAAACCCTGACGTCAGGTTTGCTTGGGCTTGGGCTTTCGGATGCTCAGGGTTTAGGGTTTAGGGTTCAGGTTTCAGGGTTTAGGGTTTATTTAGCCAACGATACCACGATATCTGACAGTCTAGATTCGGTTTGAGATTAAGGGCTTTCGGGTTTAGGGCTTCGGGCTTAGGGTTCAGGGTTTAGGGTATCCGGAAGTGCATATCCGAAGCCTTCCAAGACTCCGAACCCTCAACCGTCCTCGACCTTTATCAACGCTTATCTGGATTGTTTAGGGTTTTTGGGTTTCGGTGGTAGGGTTGAGGGTTTCGGGTTTAGGGAACCAGTCCTGTCCTATCTGATGGCCAAGGTTGAGGGCCGACGGCTTGTCGATGAGGTGGGGCCTTACGAAGCAGGGTGTAGGGTTCCGGGTTGAGGGCGTAGGGCTCAGGGGGGTTTAGGTTTTAGGGTTACAGGGCTCACAGGGTTCAGGGTGTTTAGGATGGGCTGAGATGTGAGGGCTACGGTTGTTGGTGTTTTGGCTGGGGAAAGTTGCGTGGGGGCTAGGGTTGCACAGGGCTTGTAGGGATTAGGGTGCGTAGGATCTTCCCTAAACCCTAAACCCTAAATCCGAAACCCTAACCCCTAACCCCTAAACCCTAAACCCTAAACCCTAAAGGGTGGAGCGGTGGTGGGGTGATGGTCTTGGCCGAATCTACAGGGTGGGGGGGAAAAGGTCAGAGCAAGTGAGAATGTTCCCTGGAAAGTCTGTTGAAACCCTAAACCCTAAACCCTAAACCGAACCCTAAACCCTAAACCCTAAACCCTAAACCCTGACGTCAGGTTTGCTTGGTAAACCCTTAACCCTTAGATTCTAAGGGTATAGGTAAACGGCCACACTTCCCGCGCTTGCATCTGTGAGGTGATGATAGCGCACGTCTCTGCCGCTGGCGGTTTAGGGTTTAGAGCCCTAAACCCTAAACCCTAAATTCTAAACCCAAACCCTAAACCCTAAACCCTAAGCCTATTTAGGGTTGCTCGCAGTTTCTCCCCCTGCTTGGGTACCGAAGGGTGCCGTGGTCATTGAGCATGTCGATGTCGAGGACCGAAATTCCACCAAGTGGGCTCGGTTTAGGGTTTAGGGTTTAGGGTTTAGGGTTTAGGGTTTAGGGTTTCGGGTTTAGGGTTTAGGGTTTAGGGTTTAGGGTTTAGGACCCCAAACCTCAAGTACCATAGCCCCGTAGCCCCTTGCGGCATCGCCCGAAACCCGACAGACGCAGGTCGGAAAAGAGTTGACTACAAAGCTGCTGGCTTACCCAGCTCCTGGGCCAAACGCCTCATCATACCCAAACCCCGCAAGCCCTGGTTTAGGGCAGTTTAGGGCTTACCGGCTTAGAGGTTTTAGGGTTTAGGGTTTAGGGTTTAGGGTTTAGGGTGACAGACCTTATAGGGCTTTCAGGGCACAGTACTTCCAGACACAAAAATCAGGCAGCAGGGCTTACAGGGCTTTTGGGGCCTCGATAGAAGCCCCAAGTACCCCAACAAACTAATCCCCTAAACCCAGTTTAGGGTTCAGGGTTTAGGGTTTAGGGTTTAGGGTTTACGGTAATTTGACCGAAAGTCCTAAACCCTGAAGCTCCGAAGGCCTTTAATCCTCGGCCCCAACCCTGCCAAAAAATCCCTACGAAACCCTATAGAAGTCTAAACCCTGAACCCTAAACCCTAAACCCTAAACCCTAAACCCTACGAAACCCGAAACCCTAAACCCTACGAAGCCCTATAGAACTCTATATTAAAACCGCATAAAACTCTGTCAGCCCCAAACCTCACGGAAATCCTGAACCCCTCTCACCCCCCAAGCAGCTTCGGGTCGGGGGTGTAGGGTTTTGGGCCCACCCTAAACCCTAAATCCAGAATCCCTAAACCCTAAACCCTAAACCCTAAACCCTAAACCCTAAACCCTAAACCCTAAACCCTAAACCCTAAACCCTGTTCGGATTTAGGGGCCCAAGGCGGTGGACATCTGGGCCGCCGGCCGCCAGGGCGCGGCCATCGCGCTGCAAGCCTTGGCTCGGCGTCCCAAAGCCGTGCGGTTCACGATCTCGCAGGCACCTGAGCTGTTTAGGGTTTAGGGTTTAGGGTTTAGGGTTTAGGGTTTAGGGTTTGACAAATTTGAGGATGAAGTTCAGTTCATGATCTCGCAGGCATCTAAGCTGCACCGAGTTTGTGGTTTAGGGTCCAGGGTTTAGCGTTTAGTGGCTGTTTCCTAAGCCCCAGCTATGGGTGTAGAGTCGAAGAGGCCAGCGGCGAAGAGCTGGATGCAGCAGGGTTGCAACCGGCAGGCACGGGCAGGTCGAGGTTGAGATTCGAGGGTTCAGGTTTTGGGGTTTAGGGTTTAGGGTTTAGAGTTTATATAGGGTTTAGGGTTTGGGGTTTGGGCTTTCATGCCTCATTCTGCGAAGGACGTCGAGGGGTTTTTACAGGACTTACGTGTTCTTGGGTTCAGGATTTGGGATGGCGTGGCCAGTTTGGCTCAGGAGCTGTAGATCACCACTAAACCATCAGCCTTAAACCCTAAGCCACAACTCACAATGAGACCTAGACCCCGTCAAGTCCAACGGATCCTACTCCCTGGCTCCTAAATGCCTTTCCTCCCTGATTCCCTAAAGCCCCAAGCACTAAGCTTTTCTGGTTTAGGGCTTGGGAAAACTCATAATATCCCTCAACCCAAACCTACAAGCCCTAAACCTTAAACCCTAAAACGCCCTAAATTCTGAAACCTTCAACGACTCTCAGGAGAAGGGCCGATCGAGCCATCAGCTCGAGTGGGCATCCGACTGAAGATCGACTGTGCGGAAGAGCCAGGAGAGTCGGATTTAGGGTTCAGGGTTTTGGGTTCAGGGTTTAGGGTTCTCTTCAGGGTGTAGGGCCCTCGGGCTTAGAACTACAAACTCCGAAATCCCCAAATCCTAAGCCCGTTCTTCACCCTGACTGTTGCTCTTACTCTTTCTCGTGCGCTTACTCTTTCTCTTTCTCCTACTCTTATCCTTACTCTTACTCTTACTCTTTCTCGTACTAGTACTCGTACTCTTACTCTTACCCTTACCCTTACCTACCTCTCCTGTATTGAACACGTTCCAGGAAGTTAGGGTTGCGTTGTTGGGTTTAAGATCCTGGGGCTTTGGGGGTTGTCGATCTCGGGGCTTCGAAGGTTCTAGCGTGATGGTTTGGGGCGCAGGATGTCATCGTTTAAGGCCAGGTTAGGCGGGGGAGGAGGTCTGTGTGCAGGGTGGAGAGCTTTAGGTCGAGCTTAAAGAGCTTTTGGGCCTCTTGAAATTAAGGGTTTAGGGTTTAGGGCTTAGGGGGTTTGAGGTACCCTAAGTATGAGGCTCTGTTTCATGACTGCAAGCTCAAAAGGGGCCATAGATTGGGGAGTGGGCCCTCACGCTATCAAGCAGCTCACGGGAGCCAACACTGCTCCCGGCCGCCTTGCATGATTGAGGGCTACCCAAAATCTCCAAAAACATTGAGGTATCAGGAACTCTGAGACCTTGATTTAGGGCTGAGGGTTTAGGGGTTGGGGTTTAGGGTTCAGGGTTTAGGGGTTAGGGCTGAGGGTTTAGGGGTTAGGGGTTGAGGGTTGAGGGTTCAGGGTTGCTTGGAGTCTTTGGTAGGGTGGAAACGGGGCAGGAGCTTTGCCGGAGCCGGTCAAGGTCTTCCAAGTCAGCCAGCGGAGCAACTCTGACTTCATACCGCTCGCCAAAGCTGCCACTTAGCTGTTTTGACGGCTAGCTCTTTAAATCCTTAAACCCTAAACCCTAAACCCTAAGCCCTAAGCCCTAAGCCCTAAACCCTATAATTACAGCTTGAGGTATCTTGAAGATGCCAAGGCCCTTCCCTTCGTTGACAGCAGCCTAAACTGGTTAAACTGGCACCCCCGAAAGTTGGGGAAACCTGCCCCAGCACCCCCCCCCCGGCCCCCTTGGTCCTAGGGTTTAGGGTTAAGTGGGGATTGAGGTTGGCGGTTAGGCTGGCGGGGTTTGGGGAAGTTACACTTTAAAGGGTTCTGAACAATTGGCCCTTGAGGTTTTATCATTTACAGCGTTCCCGGGTACAGGCAGTGGTGAAAGTCGGGGAACGCTGTATTCCTAAAAAGGTGTTTAAAGTTCAGCGTTTACAGACCTAGGCTCCCCAACTACCCTTAACTGGGGACTGCCGGTAGTTGGGGGTGGGGTTTCTGGTAGGGTTTGGAGTTTTGGGGTTTGGGCGTTGGAAACCCTAAACCTTAAACCCTGAAGCCTAAAAAAGGAACCCTAAGCCCTAAACCCTCATTCATGTGCGATTTTGAGGGTTTGTCGACGAAGGTCGCGACAGAGCTGAGATGGATGCCGGCTGGGGAGGTGCTTGCAGTGGAGAGCCTCCTGGCAGAGGTAGAAGGAGGGTCAGGGTTTAGGGTTTAGGGTTTGGGGTTTAGGGAGGGAGTTGCAGGGTTAAGGTTTAGGGTTTTCGGGTTTCTGTTTTGGGCCCTGTATCCCTTCAGTCGAGGCCTCCTACTGGGGAAGGCCAAGAACGTCCACACAAGGGCTTACAACATGGCGCGGGCAGTGGCGCTGGCTTCCGACTGGCAGGCCACATAGGGCTTAGGCTCCATAAACGTTGCTTCGGGTTTATTTTAGGGTCTCAAGACCCCTAAACCTTAAACCCAAAACCCAAAACCCGTTCAGGGTTCAGAGTTTAGGGTTTAGGGTTTGGGGATTCATCTCTTTCGGGTGAGCATCGTAGTATAGGTCTAGTTGACTGCTTCGGGTTTGCGGAGTGGGTTTATACGAGGTTTGGTTTCTATTGGGGTCGAAGAACTTCAATGTTCCCTGACTGTTCAATGTAGCGAGAATATGCCGCTTGCGACATGCTGGAATCTAAAGTCCAATTCTCCCACGCCAAGACACAGACTGACCGAGACCCTAAGCACTGACCTGGAGCTCCAGATCACAAAGTCCCGAACCCGAAGCCCTAAAATCCATAACCCTCAGCCAGATGTTAAGGTCTAGAGTTTAGGGTTCAGGGTTTAGGGTTTGGGGGGGCTGTTTCTTCGGGGGCTCCAAATGGCTCAGCAGCCACTTGCAGGGTTTACAAGGGCTAAACCCTAAACCCTAAACCCTGAACCCTACACCCTACACCCTACACCCTAAACCCTAAACCCTAAACCCTAAACCCTGAACCAGCCACCGGAAGGTCAAACCTGAGGCTACGGGTGCCCTCCGGCCATTCCGCTGCGTCGCGCAGGAGCGCGCTGTGGACATGCAGGTGGATGATGCCCCTGCAGGTCCCGAAGGCCTTAGGGTGTAGGGTTTAGGGTTTAGGGTTTAGAGTTTAGGGTTTAGGGTTTAGGGTTTAGGGTTTAGGGCCAGCTCTCTACATGATGTTGTTGTTCGTTGTTTCGCAGAGGGACGTTTAGGGTTGAGGGTTGAGGAGTGAGAGTCCAGGGGATACGACCAGCATAATGAATGGCCATTGTGGTCCTTCGTTGGGGTACTAGATATGGCGGGTACCCTTCTTTTTTGGGAGGACACGAAACTTGGAGAAACTACTAGGCTTCGAGATCATAATCTCAGCGCAAACCCTTGGAAACCCAAAGCTCTCAACCCTAAGCCCTAAACCCTAAAACCCAGAAGCCCCAAACTACCAAAACTCCCAAACGGGTTTGGGGTTGTGGGTGCCGGACCCCGTGGGTGTAGGGTGTAGGGAGTACGGTTAAAAGGGTTAGGGTGGGAACCGAAGCCGCAAGAACACATCTGAAGCCACCTCGGGAACTTCATGAAGAGGCCGCCAATTCGCTGAGCCCAAAGCACTGCGCCTGGTGCTTCTGGCTGATGGCCACACGGTTGCTATCATTTGCTCAAAGAACCCCGCAAAAAACAACTAAGGGGAACATTGGGGTTATAATTTTCTATAGTTGGGAGGTTCCTCATAAAATAGCAGGTTGTTTTTTTTAATGCAGGGCTTCGGGTTCAGCGATTCGGGCTTAGGGATCTAGAAGCCACCTAGCTTTTCTAGGGTTCTTAAGGGAGAGGAGTTCAGGGGGGGGTATGTAAACCAACCCTAAACCGTAAACCCTCCTAGGGAACCCTTGGGAGTTTTAGGGCACCTTGGGTTCCATACCTGCCTTGAACCCCCCTCCCTTAAGAAGCCACCTAGCTTGGGAGAGCAGCTGATGAACGAGTCGCTTTTGTCGTGCATGGCTTTGTGTTTTTGGAAGATCAGGACCGCAGGGGTTTAGGGTTTAGGGTTTGGGGTTTAGGGTTTAGGGTTTAGGGTTTAGGGTCTTGGGTTTGGGGTTTTGGGTTTAGGGACAGCTTTGGGGGGGGGGGGGGGGGGTCAAAATTGCTGAGGGCGACTCAGGGGTGGCGTGTGTTCTGTCGTGCTCAGTAGTGTCCGGACCTGAAACTGTCGGTCCGAAACCCTAAGCCCAAAGCCCAATTTGGGGTTTGGGATTTAGGGTTTAGGGTTTAGGGTTGTTTAGGGTTGCTTAGGTTTCATGGTTTATGGAAGTGTTTTGGTCACTTCTGACGTTCGTATTGAGCAGTGGCTTCGTGTTCTTCGAGATACTGAGTACGAGCAATCAGTTTTCAAGAGTAGGGTTCAAGAAACTGCTACTTGCTTGGGAACCGCAAAACATGAAAATGAATATCTCTCTAATAATACCCTTGGGGGGGGGTGGGGGGGGAGGGAGGTGTGTTCTGAAGCAAATGGTGGTTTAGCCTAAACCCTAGACCCTAGACCCTAAACCCTAAACGCCGCAAACCCAAAAAACCCGGAAACCCCCACAAAATCACCTTGGCTAGCAAGGGTAAAATGAGCAAGCGCAAAGCGTCTTTCGCTTTTATGGCGTATCCTGCAGAGATGTGGCTCCCTGAAGCCTAAGATCTCAACGCCCGAAGCCCTCCCTTGCCCTGGACCCGTGAACTTGCCAATCCTGCTTAGGGTTTTAAGGTTTAGGGTTTAGGGCTTAGGGTCGAATGGAACTCTGAAACCATGCAACCTGCAAAGCCTTATAACCCTAACCCCCTAAACCTCCGAAAACCTAAGGCCCACTAGACTCAAATCCTTAAGCCATCCTTAATTCTTTGAAGTTCGGACGCATCCCTTTTTCCGGATATGCGTCCCCTTTATACTAACAGTCCTTAATCAAAATTATAAGAGGGGGGGTGGTACTAGCATCCCGATTAAGGACTGTTAGCATAAGGAGGAACATCCCAACTAAGACCCATTCAAGCAAAGCTAAGCTGGTGTTCCTTTTGCTCCGGGAACCTGAAATGGGGTTTTACGATATTAGGGGACCCTATTTGGGGGGTCCTTCTTATAAGGGGATCCTACTGTTCTTGCTTGAATTCTGAACCCCTCCCAAAAGTTTTTCTGTTGGCCTCCTTTTTTTTTTAACAAAAACCCAAAAAATTATAGTCCTAAGAGCCAGCCAGAAGAAAGCCAAGTATTTGGGGCGTCTATATTTGGGGTCCCTTATTCTCGTAAGCCCCCAAATCGCTTTGTAAACCTGAAGCCCATCCAAAAACACCAAGTATAGGGTTTAGGGTTTAGAGTTTAGGTTTAGGGTTTTAAGCCCCTAACCCATAGGCCCTTTGAACCCCACAGCCCTAACTTTCTAACCCTATACCCCTCAACGCTTTAAGCCCTAAAACCCTAGGCCAATAGTTGAACTTTAAGTTGTTTGGCTTTCCTTATTTAGTAGGCATAAACAAGTTTAACCACTTCTTCCCGTTATTTATTGGAGACGTAAGTAAACCCTGCAACCGCAACCCTGAACCCCAAGTCCTTGAACCCTTCAGAAAGCACAAGGCCAGCCACCCCCACGACCCGATGGCAGCGCGGGGACACGGCGTGCGCGGACTAGCGCGGAAGGCTGATTTCAGAGGAAAAAGAAGAAAGGAGAAGCTTTTCAAGAGCTTTAGGGTCAGGTCGTCGGGGTCGTCGGGGTCGTCGAGGTTGTCGTCGTCGTGGTCGTCGAGGTCGTCGTCGTCGTGGTCGTGGTCGTGGTCGTGGTCGTGGTCAATTGTCGTTGTCTCCTGCCAAGCATCCGTGCGTGCTTTGCAACCCACACCGATGCCCATCGAAACCTTGCTAGAGTGAGATCAACGACCACCTTCAGATGCTCATAGAACCTCGAGCACGAACCCTAAAGTCTTAAACCCCGAAGCCCTAGACCCCAAACCCCAACCTCCACCCCATGAGCCCTGGATTTTGCGCGCATGGCTCCAGCAGCACATGTCAAGCTCAGAGATGCCATGCCCTCAAGCCTTCCCAACTCCTGTTTAGGGTTGAAGATTTCAGGTCACAGCTACCCAAAACCCTCAACCCTACACAGCCCCAAGCGGTGTAGGGCCTTGAGTGCAGTGCTTAGGGGTGTGAAGGTTCTAGCATCCTTGCGGTCGCCATGTCGGGAAGCCCCGGAGCTCTCAGCACGGCCCCTGGCGGGTAGGGCGAGGCTTTCGCTTTTGGGTTTCAGGGCGGTTTAGGGCTTAGGGCTCAGGGCTTAGGGGGTAAGGGTTTCAGGCTGCAAGGGTTCAGCGGTTCAAGGGTTTGTTGTTCAAGGGTTTTTGAGGGTCTAGAGTTTACGGATGTAAGGGTTTCGGGGCTTGCGGGATTGGGATTTACCTTCAGGTTCTTTAAACACTACGCAGCGAACCCCAAACCCTAAACCCTAAACCAGGGTTGGGAGTCGAAGGCCGCGAGAAGACGTCCTACGGTACATCCGTTCAAGGTTGTGCGCAGGCCATTAGGGAGTTCAGGGTTTAGGGAATTCAGGTCTTAGGGAATTCAGGGCTTCGGGGTTTAGGGGGATTTAGGGATCCCTCCCTCGTTTCGCAGATGATCTAAACCCTAAACGCCTAAACCCCATACCCTAAACCCTAAACCCTGAACCATATAAAGCCTAAACTGCCCTACGCAGGTTGCGTCGAGGTCGCTCGTGCGCAGAAGTTTGCAGCTGAGGGTTTAGGGTTTAGATAGGGTTTAGAGTTTAGGTTTTAGGGTTGAGGATTTAGGGTTTAGGGCAGTGCCGAGGGGTTTAGATAGGTGCATCAACCCCAAGCGCCTCCCTCTTGGCCCAGAGGCAAGCGCCAGCCTCAGCCCTAAACCCGAAACAACCCCGACTCAACCCTAAACCCTAACAACCCCTATAATATAACCCTAAACCCTAAACCCTAAACCCTCACCCCTAAACCCTAAACCCTAACAACCCCTGTATGCCCTAGAAGTCCTAAACGCCAAGCCCTTTGAGAGCTTTAGGCCCGAAGCTGAAGATCGCAGACTTGAAGGGCAAGGCCCTCCTTTCCGGTTGGGAGGAGCATTTTGGGATTAGGGTTTAGGGTTTAAGGTTTAGTTTTTAGGGTTTACGGTTTAGGGCTTGCCTGTATTCCCGGGATGAGTAGAGTTGCTGGGCATAGGACTGACCCAACGCGACTGCAGATCCTCCATGCACTCTGCTACGTAGACCAGCGCATGCACGGAGACGTACTATGCGCGGGTGCGAGAGCTCTTGAAAAACGCAGTGGGGTGGGGGGGGGGGGAGTGGGTGGGGACAGTACACATGGCGGAGGCCTAGGCCGTGAGGCAGAGCTGACGCAGCGTCATAGACTTTATCAGCTAGTGGCTGTGTGTTGCATTCATCGTCTTCGGAGATGCTTGCATAGAGCCTTCGAAAGTGGCTCGGAGGGATGAGGGATGAGGGTTTAGGGTTTAGGGTTCACTAAGCCTTGAAGGGCCTTGACCTCTTAAACCCTGGAGCAAAAGCAGCAGCTTACACCAGGACGCAGAGTGGGTCCCTATGTACTACTCCCTATGCTTGCAGGGGCCAAATTCCCCCTCCAGACCCCATGAACACAAAGATGGGGAACTACCTGCTGCTCATTCCCAGCTTGCCTCTTGTAAAAGCTGAGTGGGTTACCCTAGACCCTAGACCCCAAACCCGAAACCCTAAGCTCTTACTGCAGGTGGCCATCATCTCGGGAGCCACGCGCGGCATCGGCAAGGTTCGGCAGTCTGTAGCGGACTGAGGGTTTAAGGGCTGCCATCAGTCACTCAACCCTACAATCAATACTCGTACCCCTCAGGTTGCACCCCGGAAGGTCCCACCTAGTATACTACTAACATGGCCCTTATACTCCCTTAGGGATCCTTAAAAAGGGACCCCAAGACCCAAGGGTACAACCTTGGGGGTCCAAGGTAGAAGCTTACTCTGAATAAGGCCCTTCAATTCCCTGGCACATCTCTTAAACCGGGTCCCCCAAACCCAAGGGTACCACCCTCGGGGTCCAAGGTAACGTCCCTCGACAATTAGGCTTTGGCGCATGAACCTACAGGGCACGTTTTAGGGTTTAGGGTTTAGGGTTGGGGTTTAGGGTTTAGGGTTCTTTCAGAGACCAGCAGGGCCAGGTGAGTCGCTAGGATGTTGTGCCGTAACTCTAAACCCCAACGCCCGGTTTACACCGAACCAAACAACACCAAAATCCTACAAGCTTAGGGTTTAGGGTTTAGGGTTTTTCTAAACCGTAACTCCCAGTCACTAAACCCTTAACTCTCAACACTCAACACCATTATCTCACGCCGAGGGGTAGTGTTGCAACCATGTTCGCTTCTGCCGCAAGGCGTGCGCTGTTGCTTTGGCAAAGCAGGCTCAGCAGATGTCCAAAGGTTTAGGATTTAGGGTTTAGGGTTTAGGCTAGTTTCCAAAACCCTGAACCCTAAGCTTTAAAAAAGCAACCAAACAATTGCTGCACGCAATCATATCCCACATTCTCATCTTCTAATTGGTTTTACCATGAACCCCAAACAGAACCTCAGACCCAGCCACAAAGTCAACAAGGAGCTTCTGTTAAGGGGCATGAGGATGGACCCCTAGAAGGGACCCTT